AATTATAGTGAAATTTTAATAGTTATGTTGATTTAAAATTTAGTTGGCACAATTAAATTGAACTTAAATTTAGCTGGTGCAATTAAATTGAACTGGAATTTAGTTGGCACAATTAATTGAACCAGAATTTAATCAGAACAAAATCATTTAGCCAGGGTGCAATTAATTGAGCCAACTTGATATTAATTGAGCCAACCATCTCTAGTCCAAACTTCAGTATGCTTACTACACCTATTGGATATTCAATATATTACAATTTATTAAAAATCAAACACCTATCACATATTATCAAGTACCAATAGGTATATGATAGGTATTGATTTTCCACAATTTGACCAGTGACCTTCAAGTATAACTAAAATTATAATATAGATCACATACCTAACTCATTATAATCTGGACTAACTGGGAATAACATAATTATAATTTCCAGTAATTGGATTTTGGAAATTATAAACTTGTATTTCAAAATCAAAGTTAAAAAAATAAAGAAAAGTTGATCATATATAAAGTTTTTGTACACGTGTCATACTATAAAAAAAGATATTGAAATAGATTACCAGAAACCTCTAAATTGAAAAGATCTTAAAGTTCTTTGGTTCATTACTTGATCCAATATCACATTGTATTAGGCCATTCATTTCTGATTATTAATGTTACACAAACTTTTAATTAGTGATCGGCAAGTGATTCACCTTATCCTGACATGACCACTGATTGATAACTTAAATTTATATGTAAAAAAAAACAATTTTTTTTGTTATATTTTCTCGTTGCTCATGTTTCATTATCTCTCTTTCTTTCTTTTTATTCCTTTGCACTTCATAAATACATTAAGGTAATGTTTTACTATACTACATTGACTTACAGTTGCACTAAAGTAAATGACATTAAAAGTAAATGAATTTTAAACCGTATTATATTGTGAATTATAAGTTGAAATTCTTTCCACAATTTTCATTTTCATAGCGTGTATAATATTACTAGGAGGTGGTAAAGAAATAGCTAAAGTTATGCATATACGTAAAATAGCATCACAAGCATTACCTATTGGATTATATTTAAAATCATCATTGAAACAAAACAAAATTAAATAAAGTATAAGATAAAATATAGATAAAATTCCCGTTATTGTCATATACCAAGTTCCAACTGCCGCAGATTGAGCATTTACATGTTGTTTGGGAGATGTCGATTTACTCATGTGAATAGTTAAAACTGGGTAAAATGCGTATAAAAATGATGAGGTGATCGTGGATACTCCTAATATTAACTGTAAAGAAAAAAATAAAAAATAAAATAAAATAAAGAAGTGAGAAAAATAAATAAATAAATAAATAAATAAAACAAATAAAAAATAATAAAAATAATAATCCGATAAATAATAAATAATAAATAATAAATAAGAGCAAAATACCTGACTAAGAAATAAAGGAAATTCTGAATAATCATGTTCTGATATATAAATAATTATACAATCAACAATATTTGCCGCATCAAATGCGATTAATTGTAATATGGTAATTTTAAATAAATGAGTATTCCATCGATTTTCTCCATAAAATTTTCTACCCATATCCAACATACACACTACCAATATTGTAGTATATAAAGATCTTACAAGTGCAAATATGATCCAATATCGATTTAGAGAAACCCATCCCCAAAATGTAGGTTGCGCTTCAAAGTAATTACATATGGTAATTAAAAATATTGCTACCGTTGATAGAAAGCTTTATAATTATTTTATTTTTAATTTTTAGAATAATTTTTAATAAATAATTTTAATAAAAGATAATGAATATGATATGACAAAAAATTAAAAATTAACCAAATATAATAATAATAATAATAAATACATACCATGCCAGCCTTAGTTTTGTAAAGTTGACTATACACTGATATAATAAAAATATACAGGATATCGAACTAAATACCACACTTCCGATCAAGACTCCAGTTTTTACAGTTTCCATATTATATATATGTAATATATGTAATATGATCTTTGAATTTTAAGTATTATTAATATTATTGTTGTTGTTAAATTTATTACTGGATGATTTTAATATGAATATATAATTATTATATTATGATGAATATTAATATTTACGTTTATGGATGTTAAGAGAGGATTTTATATGCATAAAAAAAAAAATTAAAGGAATACTTTTGATGAAATTAGGATTTAAAGAAAAGGGAGAAATGTATAATTGTATAAAGAGTGAAAGGAATGAAAGGAATGTGCGTATATATAATATGTATGTATGTACGTGTAAAGGAATATATATATATGTAATGGAATGATTTATGGGGTAAAGAATGAATAGAGTAAAAAATATATGTACTAAATATATGTTCAAAATATATGTGCAAAATATATATACATATATATAAAATTACATAAATTTTTTTTAAAGGAAAAAAAAAAATTGACAAAAATTAAAGAAAGAAAGAAAGAATGAATTTGCTGAGAGAAAATGTAAATGTGAAGTAAATTATCGGTAATATAAATTGAATCACAGATCCACGAAAATAATGTGTGTTTATAAAATTTGACCGCAAAAAAAAAATGAATCAAATAAATTAAAATAAATTAAAATATTTTAATCAATAAATTCTTATATAATAAAAAAAATATTATTAAATAAAATATTTAATAAAATTTTGGGTGTTTGACGAATGTGTATTATTTAAATATTTTTAATTTATATTTTATTATTTAATTGTGTCTTGGATCTTATGCGTAAAAATTATAACGTGCATTTAAAGTTTTGTTTGTATTCTAAATTTTTTATATACTTTTTTTATTTCTCGGTTTTTGTATTTATTTTTTTATTTATTAATTTATTTGATATTTATGTTATACCAGTTATTATATTTCGGCTATGGCTTTTTTAAACTTAAAAAACTTAAAAGCAATAAAGGTAAGTCTAACTTTCTTTTCCACATAATTAAATGATTTTATTTTCTAATTTGAAAAATTCTTTTTTCTATCTTTATCGTATCTTTAAAAATGCGATTTATATCATTGGTTTAGACTAAATCTTGATTTATCATTTGATTTATTGAGAAAAAAAAAAAAAGCTGTTACATAACATACACTGATTACGCTAATTAAAGTAATTAAAATAAATTAAAGAGATTACACTAATTAATTAATTACATTCATTATCTGTTATATTGGTAATATTTGTATCACTCCCATTGTTCGAATGTTTCACACGATATAAAAGAATGAAGATATTAAAGATGATTAAAAGATGTTAAAGAGTAAAAGATATTAAATAGTAAAGACATTAAAGAATGATTAAATAATTAAAGATATTAAAGAATGATAATTAAAGTAAAAAAGTATTAAAGATATAATATATATATATAAGAAAATAAATGAAATTTGATAATATTAACGAAATAATATTTAACGAATTAATCCATCTAAACTTAAAGCAAATTTAGTTTTATTTCGAGAGAAATTATTATTATTATTATTATTCTTATTATTATTATTAAATACTTTCCAGAATCTTAAAGTATTATCATCACCACCTGCACCCGTAACAATATTTTCACCACTTGGTGATAATGCGAAATAAAGAACACGATATGTATGTCCTTTTAATGTTGTCACTTTTTCCATTGATGGATATTTCCAAACGATTATTTCGTTTTTCCACCATCCATGAGTTGAAAGAATTTCATTTGCATTGGGTGACCATTGCAGGTTACATACCTTTGTATATATTAGATTTGAAGAATATTTAAAGAATATTTTGAGAATTTTAAAGAATGTTAAAGAATGTTAAAGAATATTAGAAAAAAATGTATAATATTAAGAATTGTTAAAAAAAAATTATTAAGATTGTTGATCTTTTAATCGTTCTTTGTTATAATAATTATTATTATTGTTGTTGTTGTTTTGTTTTTATTGTTATTTATTATTTGTTACTTTTTTATTTTTTTATTATTTATATTATTATTTACATTTATTCACATGAATACCTGTGATTTGACATTAAAAGTTGCCAAGTTTCTTGCGTTTCTGGTATTCCAGAAACAAATTCGACGATCTAAATGACCACCTCCACTAACTAATATATTACGAGTATGGGGACTCCATGAAAGGGCACGAACTGCTGCTCTATGCCCCTCAAGTTTTCGGCTCGGATTATCACTTTTATTAGATTCCCAAATAAATAGTTCATTTGCATTACCACCACTCGCTAATTGATCTCCTTCGTGATTCCATTGTAATCCGCATATCTTTTTATTATATTATAATTTAATTTTTATTTTATTATATTATAAATTATCTTTTTTTATTATAATTCATTTTTTATTTATTTTATTTTTATTTTATTTTTTATTTTTATTTTATTTTTTATTTTTATTTTATTTTATTTTATTTATTCTTATTTTCATTTATGCACAAAAAAAAATTACTATATGTATTATATGTATTCATTACCTCGGATCTATGCTCTTTCAATACACCATAGATATCACGAGGAATTCTCTGATCTCTATTCAAGATGAGGCGGTCTGCACTACCAGTGGATATTGTCGTGTTCCCATAACAAGCGATAATACCAATTCTTGATTTGTGTCCTTCCAAATCACGGATTTTCGTAAGCGTTTGAATATCCCAAATTTGTAATTGACCTTCTGTTGTACCTATAACTAATTGACCTCCCTTTTTTAAATAAATAAATAAATAAATAAATTAATGAAACCAATAAAATAAAGACGAATGAAAAAATAACCACGAAAAAATAAACAAACAAGCGACGACGCAAAAATTATATAATTAATTTATAATAATCAATTAATCAATTACAAATACCTGGTGCAGCCATTTAACTGAAGTAACGCAGCAACATGTTCCCAAATCACATAACTTCGTCATCTATAATAATAAATTTTAATTAATTAAATATTTTTATTAATGTTATGGATATAGATGTTTATTGTAAATGTTATGTTTCAGAATTTTTTTATATAAGTATATATTAATAATAAAGTAAAAAAAGAATATGTTTACAAACTTTTGATGTCTCAGTGTTCCATAAATAAACGAAACTGTCAAGACCTAAACTTAATATATTTGAATGAGACCAATCAACGACATTTAAATAAAAATCATCCTGAAAGAAAGAAAAAAATAATAAATAAATAATATTATTATTGTTGTCTTGTCTTATGATACGTATTCTATATATATATATATTTTGTTTATTTATTTTATGTTTGTAATTTCTTTCACCTTAAGTTTTAAATTATTACAAAGTGTCAATGATTGAAATGGGACAGGATTAATAAATCTTTCATGTTTACGAGGAGTTGTCATCAATCCTTCAACTTCACGTGAGAAAGGATTGATAGAATATTCTTCTCTGAAAGGTGTATCAAAAACACCACTAAGGTGACGATCGTTTAATATTGAAGATGAATGAAAGTTAAAGAGATTATAATTGTCATTATTATTATTATTATTATTATTATTATGAATGTTATTATTATTATTATTTAATAATAAACGAGGATCATATCGTTCAATTAAATCGAGATTAGATTTGAATATGGTTTTTTGGATAATTGCTTTACGAATACGCTCCTCTTCTAAAAAAAAAAATTATATTATATTAACACATTTGTAATAATTGTAAAATAATTAAAAAAATAAATTTAAAAAATTTAAAAATAAAATTTACTTGTTTCTTTGTTTGAGTCTTCTCTTTTCCTTTTCTTTTCAGTAGTAGTAATAGTAGTGGCAGTTGATGATCGCCTTTGAAATTCGGAAATTAAATCACCAGTTCTTCTAGGAATAAATCTATAGTACGTATACATTAATATATTTCATATATGTGAATTATCCTTTAAAGATAGAAAAAAAATTTGATCTTTAACATATACAGTACCTATCACCGTAAGAACGTACAGTTCGATCTACCCTTACTATATAATTATCGTCATCATCATTATTATTATAATTTACTCCTCTTTCTTCTTCTTTGTTAAATGTGTTAAAGTTCGCCTTCTCCTCACTTGAAAAGAAAGAAGAACATAATGATGATGATGATGATGAATAAGTATGTAATAAACCTAAAGGTGCTTTATTATTATTATTATTATTATTTTCAAGGTGTGACATTTATTTGTTTTTTTTTTCGCGTTGACTAAAATTATTATAATTATTATCTTGGAAAATGTGAAAAATATGAAAAATGACATATTAAAACTTCTTAAATATATATTTACACTATTAAAATTAACTTTAAATTAACTTTTTTTTTAACAAAGTTTTATCATTATGTAGTTTTTGCAGTTAAAGTTTATTAATTTGAAAGTTAAAATTTATAGTTAATTTTATAGTGTTTCTAAATGAAATTTATTAAATTACTTCGATATACTTTTTTACAATATATTTTTATATCACTTTTTCAATAGTATTTCATATACAACATAATAATAATAATATAACAGTATAACAATATAACAATATATCACAAGTTTTTTAATTCTTTCTCAGCCATACCCAACAATTCACTAACTTCATTTAAAACGATTTTATTATTTTCACCTTCTCCATGTGTAATCTTAATTGATTTCTTGGAAATTTTTAAGATATCAACTGCTTCTTTAATTACATCTTTTCCACCTTCTAAATCATTCCACATACATTTACCTAAAGTGAAAAGATGTAATGTTATAATAGGATGATATCTAGGATATATAACTAAATAAATTCCTAATATCAATTTTCCTAATTTCCATGATTCATTCCATCTTTGTGCATCAATAAGATTATAAAAATATTGGGTCGTTATGGAAATTGTTGTGGTTGAAAATAATTTAAAATTATTATTTTTTTTTTCTTCTTCTTCTTCTTCAACTTTTGAAAGTAGATAATTAAGAAGATTATCAAGAGAATTAAGGTATGATGATCTTAATGTATCTTCTCTTAAATGAGGAAGAAGTGATGATAATATAAAGGATATTTTAGAATAAATAAAATAAATATGATGATTATTTATTAAAGAGGATTCTATTTTTTTTGAATTATTCATCTTTGACCAATTTTTAATTAAATTATCTATAATTTCTTTCTTAATGTCTTCAGAACCTTTCTCCATCAATTTATCAATTTTTGTCAAAGTGATTTTAAATTTATCCAACTTATTAAACTTATTCTTTTCAATATCATTTTCAATATTGATAAAATCTACTAAACATCTTGAACATTGACAACTAAAAAAATATTTTTCTTTCAATAAATTTTGTCTAGATTTTCTATTCATCACTGCTGCATCAACATAAGAAATAGTTATTTCTTCTTCCTCATCAATATCTTCAATACTTTTGATAATTTGTTTTTCACCTTCATACATTACAATTGAATTTGGACGACATGAATGATTTATAAATGATCCAATTGGATATACTCCTTCACCATATGTGAAAAGTTGATTATCATGTAATTGAAAGTTATTACAGGAAAATTTACATAAATATGTTATCAAATCATCTTTTGAAATATTCTGGAATTTCAAATCTGACCAAACTCTTTCAGCAATAATTTTGTATTTTTCAATTTGATTTGGAGTTAGATTTTCTCGATGTGACATTAATGATAAAAATGCTTCATATATCACTTGATTAATCCGTTCATTTTCATTTTTTCCCTTTTCTCTTTCTTTTCCTGTTACTGAAAAGTTTGATGTTGATTTTTTTTCTAAATATTTATCAATTCTCAAAGATACTCTTCTTAAAATCTCTTCATCCATTTTATTAACATTATTATTATTATTATTATTATTATTATCTAGATTTGAATCATCCTTTTCTTTTTTATTAATATATATAGAACATAACTTTTTATGATGTAATGTCCAAGACTTTTTTTGACAAGAAACACTACAATAAAATATTTGTTTACATTTTGAGCAGGCTTGAAGCGGTGGTGATGATGAAGATGAAGATGAAGATGAAGATGAAGATGTAGTTAACGAAGGAATTTTTAGACATTGATTACAATACGTTTTTATAGTTGATTGAATTAGTAAACAAGCTAAAGGATAAGAGTACATGACGGTAGTACCTTTGGGAATATGACGAAGGGATATAAGAGAACGATAAGAAATTGGATTTGATTCAAGTTTTAAATAGTGATCAAAAAGAAAAGATTCCATTATTAATTATTTTTTAATTTTATTTTGATTTTATTTTTTATATTCATTTCATATCACGTGTGTTAAAGATCAAAGGTTACTTAAATAAAAATTATTGGATAATGAATGATGAGATTGTAAATATAAATTTGGTAGATAAATAATTCCATTTTATTTACTTTTTCCGGAAATCATTTTATTTATCTTTTATGATGAAAATTAAACACATATTATTTAATTAATTTATAATTTCTCTCCTCTTTACATATACGTATATATATTTTTATTGTATATATACGCATGTAACAAGTATAACAAATATAACAAATATAATAACACAATAATAACACAATAGAATAGAATTCATAGATAACTCATATATATATATATATACATATATATATGTAATAATAAATTATTTCTTTCAATTAAAAAATCATGACATGTCTCAAATAATTAAACTTACTCCCGCCTCTGTTCCAGTTGATATCTTTATAGAGATATGTAGTTACCTTAATCCCACGGATCTCATTTCACTTATGGGGGTTTGTAATCAAATTAGGAATTGGTTAAGTTCTACCACATCTTCTAGTACTCAAGATATTTGGAGAACTTCGAGATTAAAATTTTTACCAGATTTACAATTACCTCCTTTCTCAGATATGGATGAACTATCATATATTAAATTAGGTTTAATTGAAAATGGGTGTCAATTTTGTGGAAGGAAGAAAGATCCTTGTAAAGTTTTTTGGGTTTTTCGTGTGAGGTGTTGTAGGAAATGTCTCAATAAAAGAGTTGTTAGGTAATTATTTTAATTATTTAATTATTTAATTATTTATTTTTTGATTTATCATTTTGATTATTATTATTTGAATTATTTATAATAACTCAATTTTTTATTTTTTTTTTTATTTTATTTTTTTATTTTTTTAATAATTATTTTTAGTCATCGTGATCTTCCAAGCGGTGCTATATTTCCTGTTGATGTACCCAATTGTTTACCATATATGAAAAAAGGTTCGGAATATGATTTCTCAAGAATGTATTGGCGTCAAGATGTTAATTCTACTTGTGAAGAACTTAAAGCCCTTTATAATAGTACTCCAGAAGAACAAGCTGAATGGTTTAAAAAGAAAAGGGAATCTGCATATAAAATTATGGAAGATTGGCGAAAACGAATATCCGATGAACGTCATTGGTTATTATGTCGTAGAAGAGAAGATAAAAAACAATTTGAAAAAATTATTCATGAATTAAAAGAAGAACAACGTGATGACGGAAGTCCCAAATATGTTGATCGATGGATTTGGGAATTACGATCATGTGGTGACGCTTTTCAACTCTCTCGTGAACCATTTATAAATAAAAATTGGATAAAATTAAAAAATGCCATGATAGATGAATATGAAGAATTAATGAAACAACAAAGACAACAACAAATCTGTCAATGTATTTTATCTTTATTATCAGCTTATGGAATGGATTTATCAACCATTACTTTACATCAAAGAATTTTAGCATCAACAGCTGGACTTACCGAATTAGAAATATTGAAACATCGAATTTCTGTATCTGATTCAATTATTGAATGTTTAAGGTGGTGCCCATCTTATCAAAATCCACCATTTATTAATAATGATCCAAGAAATCCTTGGAATATTAATTTTTTACTTAATGATTTAATTCCTCAACTTCATTTGGAAGCTGAAGAATTAAGTAAAAAACCAGGTCCCATAAGATCAGGATTAATTACTACAGTTATGGGAGCTATTAATCAAGGATGTTCAAAATGTGAAATATTTAGATGTAAATTATGTAACGATAAAAATAATAATAATAATAATAATAAACATTTTGATTATAATGGAATTATTTCTCACTTGAAAAGTTCATGTCATAAAGTTGTGAAAGTTTTGGTAGAAGAAATGGTCTCTGTGAATAGAGAAAGAGTTGTAGATTGTGTACAAATGATATTTCCTTTTGATGGTAGTGCTTCTGAATCTTTTCAACATTTTCGTCATTGGCATGCTACTTGGTCTTAAAATACATACATACATTTAAATACATACATTTATTTATTTATTTTATTATATTCTTCTTTTTCTTTCTTTTTTTTTTCTTTCTTTCTTTTGTTCTTTCTTTTATTCTTTCTTTTGTTTGTAATTTAACTTTTTTTTTATACTTAAAATTTGTAATTAATCATTATATATATTATATATCATACATATTATTGATATTATTGAATGATTACAATAAAAAAAAATAATGCAATCATCAATTGTTAGTGAGATCCGCGAAAGCAATTCAATTGTATTAAATGTATTAAGTAAAGAATTTCATAAACCCCACTTTAAAAAAACCAATAATTTATGCTAATCACTACTTTTAAAGTGCATAAAATATAAACAATAATAATTACTTCTATTTGCTCTTTACATTCTTTAAATTGAACACAAAGCAAGCAAAGTTCAAGTTATGAAACAATTTTATCATTATATTTATTTATAAATTTCTATGAATAAAAAGATTGACAAAAAATTTTCATAATAATATTAAAAATTAAAATTACTAAACGGGTTGTTCTTATGTGAATCTTTAACTTTCATGGTGATTATTCCGCATATCATCCAAATAATAATAAATAATAAATTTCATTTTTTGAGAATTTTCATAATAATATATAATTAAAAAAAAAGAACGCGCGGTTTTTTGATTCCTTTTTTTTTTTTATTTTTATTTTTATTTTATTTTCGTCTTGGTTAGAAAGAATTTCATATGTGACGATCACATGAGATTAATGGTTTACTTTGCAAATCTTTGCTAGATGTGTAAATGTATGTATTAAAAAAATCGACCGTAAAGGTAAGGTAAAGATTTGTTCATAAAAATTTATTTATAATCCATATTTCCATATTTCCAAATTTCCATACAAGATCCCTTTCTTTCTTTCTTTCTTTTTTTTTTTTTTTTGAAGGTTTTATTTTTGGCATTCTCTTTGATAGAGATAGAGATAGAATATTCCTCTTGATTACATCTCTCTCTACGTAAATCCCTTTAATCCTTTCCAACCCTTAATTACCTTTAAATAACACCCCCATCCACCTCCACCCAACTATATAATAATATTATATTAGTTACCAATTTTCAAAGATGAATAAAAAAAACCTTCAATTCAATGATGAAATTTCTTACATGGAAGAATCCAGTAATCAAGAGGAAAATTATTCTTCGTCTGAAGATTCATCAAATCGTGACCCTATTAAGATGACAACAAAATATCATGAACAACAATCTCATGAAGCTTTACAAACTCTAAAGGATATTATGAAAGAAAAAACTTGGAAAAAAGTTCTTATGCATAAAAGTGGTATAACAGTTTATAGTAAACCGGGTATTGGGGAAAACGAAAAAACACCAATATACATGGCTCGACATGAAATTAAAGGTTTTACTCCTCAATCAATTTTTGCTGTGATTGGAATGAGAAAACTTTGGGATGAATGGTAATGATAATAATATTTATAATAATAATTATTATTATAATAATAATTTATAATAAATTTATAATAATAATAATAATAATTGAAAATAAAAATTTAATTACGAATTTTTATAATTTTTTATTAGGTATGACGAAGGCAGCTTAGTTGAAAATTTAAACGAAACGACAAGTTTAACTTATATCGTTATGCATGGAATAGCTGGATCAAAGTAATAATTATTATATTCTTATTATTCTTATTATTCTTATTTTATTATTATTTTTTTTTTTTTATTAATATTTAAATGTTTATTATTAATTATTAATTTTTCAGATCAAGGGATATGTCATTAGTGGAAAAAATAGAATGTACTTCGAATGGAACAATTTATTTCGTTTCTACTTCGGTTAATACTCCCAAAGTTCCTCGAATTGTTGGTAAAGATCGTGTTACTCTTTTACTTAATGGTTGGATTATTGAACCTATTTCTATTTCACCACTTTGCACTCGAGTTACTTACGTTCATCAATCACGTTTTCGAGGATGGATTCCATCAGTAATTGCTAAAAAATATTTAGCAAGAAGACCTCTCGCTCTTTATACCATTGATACTTATTTACAAAACAATGGTCCACCTAAAATATATGTTCGTCTTAATTCTTCTTCTCGTAATAGTGGTTGGAGTAATTTTAGTAATATTTCATTTGAAACTTCTGAAGATAATGATGATAATGATAATATTAATAATAAACGTCTTAGCATTCATGATTATAATGTAAATTTAAAAGATTTTAATATTGAAAATAATGATAATAATAATCTTAAAGAAAGTTTAAATATCGATAATAATAATAATAATAATAATATTAGTAATGATAATAATAATAATATTAGTAATGATAATAATAATATTATTAGTAATGATAATAATAATAATATTAGTAATGATAATAATATTATTAGTAGTAATAATAATAATAATAATATTAGTAGTAGTAGTAATAAGGTTATAAGACGTAAAATATCAACTGTAAATGAAGAAGATAAAACAAATTTTCAACCAAAAAAAGCAGAAGCTCGCGTTGCACCAGAATATACTTCAGAACTTATTCACTCAATTAATGGTAATGAAAAATCTAATACTTTGAATACCTTAAATACCTTGATAACAAATAATGATAATAAAACAAATGAAAAAGTTTTATCTAAAGAACATATTACACCCGAATATTCACCAGTAGAAACACCTGTAGAATCATCATCAAAAATTTCTCAACCATCAGAAATTGAAATTGAAGAAAAAGAAGAAATTTTATCTCCTCCTAAACAAAAGATAACTCATAAATATACTGAAATTTCACGAAGCGCATTTGAAAGACTAAAATCTCATTCAGATTTATCAGGTTGGACTTTTTACTGTGAGAATAAAGGTGTTAAGATTTATCAGAAAGATAATGGAAGACCTACACCAATTGTGCGTGGTGATTCCATTATCACTGGATTTACTGTTGAAGAAATTCTATCAGTTGCCGAGAATTTGGACTTTAGAAAATTATGTAAGTTTATTCAATTAATTTTTTATTTAATTTAATTTCTTTACTCTATAATATTCTTATTTTAACATCATATCATTAATATAATATAATTCATATCAATTTAGGGGATGAACGTTTCGAAGAAGGTTCTACTTACGAACGTTGGGGTTTGGATGAAATGTTAACTAGATCTGCAATGAAAGGAAATTTTCTTGTTAGGTAAAGTTTAAATAATCTAAATAATATCTAAATACATATGTAACTCTATTTAAAATAAATAAATAATTGATCAAATTATGTTTTTATTTTAATAGTGGTCGAGATTTATCATTATTTAGTAGAGTTGACCGAGATCCCGAAACTGGAACTGTTTGGTTTACCAACACATCAGTAATCGATCCAACTATTCCAGAGACTAAAAAATATGTACGAGCAAATTTAATAACAGCTGGATGGATATTGAAACCTAATTTTAATTCTTCAAAATCAATCGAATCAGTTAATGTCGTTTATTTAGTTGATATTGATATTAAACTTGACACAGTTCCATCATCAATTCTCAAATCAATCAATCTTCAAACTCCATTATGTGTTCAAAAAGTTAATGAAATTATGCATAAACATGGATTTCCACCATTTGTATCAAGAATAGAATCAATAAAGTTAATCAATAGTGAATTGGATATCAAAACTTTTCAATCCAATTTCACCTTTAAATCTAGTAAAGAAGAAGGAATTATTGAAATTCATACATCCAAGATTATGTATCCAAATGGATTTGATATCACTATTATATCTCAAAATGTTAAAGTAGAATTTGTTCCTAATTATCCAGAATTAATTAGAATTACAAAATTTGAATCAAATCTAATAGATGAAATTAAAGTTCAAATTACAAAGTATACATCAGGGAGAACAAGAATAACATATAACGGAGATAATAAGATTCCAGTAGCAAGTGCTTCACCTCTTAAAAAAATTAATAAAGTAATAGAAAATTCAACATCTAAAACTAAATTAATTGACCAAAAAACTACTACTCCCCAGAATACCCTTAAGAGTACTACTCCCCAGAATACTATTAAGAGTATTACTCCCCTGACTACTCCCCAGAATACTATTAAGAGTATTACTCCCCAGACTACTCCTCAGAATACTCTTAAGAGAACTACTCCTCAGAATACTTTTAAGAGAACTACTCCTCAGAATACTCTTAAGAGTACTACTCGCCAGAATACTCTTAAGTCTATTCCCGTTAATGATAGTAACCAAATTAATATTCGACATGTAATACAAGAAAATACTTCAAATTCAACTCTTATCGCTGATGAAGGCACAATTCTTCCTCAAAATATAATACATGAAAAGATGGTTTCAAATAGCACTCTTGTTGAAGAAGAAGACATAGTTGATCCTCAACTTATAATTGATAATACATCGTATTCTAAACATTTATTGCAAGCAAAATCATTATTTGTTAATGATGATGAAAATAAAGATCTCGAAAATGACAAGGAAATCAAAATCCTTGAAGGTAAATTTTTCGAAAAATTATACGTTTTTTGATTTTACTTTTGATTTTCTTTTGTTTTGATTCGTTATATTAATTTTTTTTTTTTTTTTTTTTAAAAAAAAAATCGAAATTTAAAATTTTAACTCTTAGCGGAGAAACGGCTTTCCAACGAATCATTTCAACAATCATATTTAGACGATACAACAACAACAACATCAATTAAAAATGATTTCTTTCAAAACATAAATTTAAATAATCAACAAATTGGTATAATAGTTGTTTCAATGGTATTATCATATTTCGCTGGTAGATTTAGTACTTGTTAAAGAATTTCTTTTTATAGAATGCGTGTTTTGTGTCTGTGTATTTTTATTTATAATTTTTTATTTATATTTTTTTTTTTGTCAAATGTCAGATATAATTTAATTTATAATATAAAAAGTAATCTATCTTTTATTTATCTAATATGAATAATAATAAATACTAATATAATAATATCTTTTTTATTAAGATTTACATAATCTCACGTTATTCACTTGCTCAAATTTGATCTGATGTTGGGAGAAATATGAAAGTAAACTGATACGATATATTTAATGTCAATGGAAAGTGAGAATGAATAAATGGAAATGTCTAATGTTTATGTTTACGTTTAAGTTTTAAGAATTACTGTTCATGAGACTTGTGATTTATTATAGTTGACTATTTTTAGCTAAATCTTGTAATCGCAGCGGTTAAAGTTGAAATTTCAATCTTAATTTAGAAAAAATGATAAAGTTATGTTTCTGAGTCTTTTAATCTTTAATAAAAAATAAAGATCAATTTTAATTTCCGAGACGCGTAGTTTGTTGTACGCAATACTTGTATTATTATTACCTTCACTACCATATGAATATGATATGGGTTAATTTCTTTTCTCCTTTATGTTTGCCATCACATTTTACCTTTATATTTCGATACTAAATATGCCAAGATTGAAATAGACAAATTAAACAAGCAAGGATATTTTATTTATAAATTGTTTATTACTAATGAATTTTAATTACAGGCGAAGAAATGATTTTATTGTTTTTAATTATTCATTGTTCATATTAGAGTAATGTTAAATATTAATATAATAAAATTTACTTTGTTTATTAATTTTATTTAAGAATTTTAAAAATACATAAATTTGTTATATTATTGCATTCTATATATATATATATATAATACTTCATAAGTAATATTTAATATAATATTATTTTATAGTGATAATTAATTAGTGTTGTTAAAATTAAAAAAATATATTAAAAATGGAAATAAAACAAATAAAACTTCTTTTATGCTTTTTTCTTCAACAGAGTTTGCTTATTCACCAATTCATAATATAATCCTTGATTATTAATTAATTCCATATGTTTACCACTTTCAATAATCTTGCCTTTCTTACACACTAAAATTAAATCTGCATCTTGAATAGTGGATAATCTATGTGCGATAGTTAATGTTGTTCTTCCTTGACTTATTTTATCTAAAGCTACTTGAACAATCTTTTCGGATTCGGAATCTAATGCTGATGTTGCTTCATCAAGTAATAATAATTTGGGTGATCGAATTATTGCTCTCGCAATGGCAATTCTCTAATTTAGTTTTAATTAATTAAAATATAAATAAATAAATAAATAAATAGAGTAAAATAAGTAAAATATAAATCAAAATATTAAAATTTCTGACTCGTTTGCGGTATTTACCTGTTTTTGACCTCCACTTAATTGAGCTCCTTTTTCACCGACTCTAGTATTATATCCATTAGGTAAACTAACTATAAAGTTATGAATATTAGCACCTTTTGCTGCTTCCTCAATTTCTTCTTGTGAGCATCCTTCTTTCCCATATGCAATATTTTCTCCAATTGTCACATCAAATAATAATGGCTCTTGTGCTACAAGTGCCATATTTGACCTTAAATATTCAAGATTCCAGTTACGTATTTCTACTCTTTCGACATCAATTTCACCTGAATTTATATCATAAAATCTTAACAATAATGATATAACGGTTGATTTTCCTGATCCTGATGATCCAACCAATGCAATTTTTTTTCCTGCCAATACTTTCAAATTTAATCCACGAAGAATTTGAACTTCAGGTCTAGCTGGATAATTAAATTGTACTTCACGGAAATCTGATTCTCCAGTTACTGGTGCTGGGCGATCTTTCCCTTCAGTATCTGAAGGATCGATTTTGGATTTACGATCAATAGCTTCAAAAATTGAAAGTGCGGCTATTTTGGCTTTCGCTGTGTTGGGTGCAAATGTACTAAAAAAAAAAAAAAAGGAATATTTAATTATTATAAAAATTCTTTGGTCAATGATGAAACAAACAATAAAAAGAAATAAACAGTAATAATAAATACCTCATTTGACCAAGAGCCATCGCACAAAATATAACAGCGAATAAGACACGAAACATTCGTTCAAGTGTATATTCACCAGTCTTTACCAATTGAGCTCCGTACCAAAATGCAAGTGACCAGATAAAGTATAAGAAACCTTGCGATATTCCAAATCCAATTGATGATAATAAACTCCCTTTGATGGCTATTCTGTGAGGTTCCTTGATAGCTTCAAAATACATATTTTTAAATGTATTTTCGAGATTCAATGAAGCAATTGTACGCATATTAGATACACTTTGTTGAACGATTTGACCAGTTCCTTCATATGCTTTTCGTGTCTAAAAATATATATATATATATTTTTTAATATATCGGATATAATATAATATAATATATATATATGTGTGTGTATATAAAATAATATTATTTTTTGTAAAATGTAAATACCTTTAAACTAAAACCTGCTAAAGATTTCATTTCCAAAAATCCAGCAATTGCGACAACAGGTGCAGCAGAAAGAATGACTAATGTAAGTTTCCATCCAAATCCAAAAGCAAGACCCTAAAAATGTTAACAAAATAAAAAAATAAATAAATATTTTACGTGATACCTTATATATATAATTAAAAAAATTAATTGGATTATAATAATACTTACAAATCCAACAGCTACATTTGTAACATTTTGAATAACTGCTCCCATTAAAGAACCGGCAAGTCCTTCAACCCTGGTTGCATCAACTGCTAATTTAGAGGTTAAAACACCGGTCCCATTCTTAGAATCATCAAAATATCCTATCTCTTGTCTTAAAAATGCCTCAAATGTTAAAATTCGAAGACGTTTTGTAAGGCGTTCTCCTGCCCACATGAACATCGATAATTGAAATAAATTTGCAAGGAAAGAAACAACAGCAAGGAGTGCAAAACCTGAAGCCCAAAAATTTGCTTCTTTTTTTAACTGAACCATACTTTTTAAAGAAATAAAAAAATATATAAATTAAGAAATTTAACTGAATTACTAAAATATTATATTATTTATAGAATACTTACTCCGTTTCTGCAAACGCTTCCAAAATTGAAGCAAAAACCAATGAAAAGAGGGGCATCTAATCAAAAAATCGTGAAAGAAATTAAACCATTGAAATGTGTGAAACATATCATATAAAATATAAATTAGCTTTTAAAATATTTACCACAGAACCATTAACAGCCGCTCCAAATACTCCAAGAAATAACATTCCAAATTCTGGTTTACATAATTTAGCGATTCTTAACAATGGCATCTTTTCTTTTAATTTTTCTTTTTCCTCTTCCTGGATTTCTTCATCTGTTTTTGTAGTTTTGACTGTGGAAGCTTTAGTTGATATACGTTGCAATTTATGTTTCTTTTCATCAATTAAAATTGTCGTATCATTATCCGGGGTACTACTAATACTAGAATCTTCTTCCTCATCATCATTTTCATTATCAGTTGACATTTTTTTTGTTTTTAGTTCTTGAGCTTTGACCAAACCATGATATACGGATTTTTTATTGATTAATTCTTCATGACGTCCAATTTCTTTAATTTCTCCATCGGACATTACAACGATTTTATCTGCATTCTTGATGGTTGATAATCGATGAGCGATTACAATTGATGTACCTAACAAAAAAAAAGTTCATATTTTATTATTTATATTTTTATATTTTAAAGTGATTAAAATAATTTTTGAACTTACGATTAGTTGCCGCATTATCCAATGCTCCTTGAACAAGACGTTCTGATTCAGTGTCAAGAGCTGAGGTTGCTTCATCCAGCAATAAAATTGGTGGATCTTTAATTAATGCGCGAGCAATAGCAATTCTATGAAAAAAAAAATAATTATTAAATAAATTAATACTTATTAATAAAATAACTACTATCACATATTGTAGATTCATGACATTCACCTTTGCTTTTGTCCACCAGAGAGTAAAGCACCTTTCTCACCAACTAATGTATCATATTTCTTAGGTAAATCTTCAATAAAATCAACAGCATTTGCTTTCTTACAGGCTTCAATGATATCATCCATACTTGGTTCTTTTTGTGACAGATCAGCACCCCAGATTATATTTTGTTTAATACTTTCAGGAAAGAGAACTGGTTCTTGACCCACGAGACCAATTTGTGATCTTAATGACTTTACATTAATATCTTTAATATCTACACCATCAAGTGTTATACTTCCATTAACTGGATCATAAAATCTTTCTAATAAATTTACAATAGTTGATTTCCCACTTCCTGATGCACCTACTAAAGCTACAATTTCACCTGGTTCAATAACCAAACTAAAATTCTTTAAAATTGGAACTTCAGGTCGAGTAGGATAATGGAAGTCAACATTCTTAAATTCAATTTTGCCTTGAAGTTTTGATCTGGTTAATTTTATACCCTTCTCATCACTAGAATCAATTGCGGGAACACGACGTATAACACCGAATAACTTTGCGGCTGCGCCCGAAGCATTTCCAACCGAAGTGAAATGTGGAGCAGCGTTACCAATGGAAAATGCTTTGAATTTAAGAGAACACGTCAATAAAGTAAATATTTAAATAAATAAATAATTAATTACAAATACTGTAATAATATTAGATATACTTACATCCAATAAGAATAGCAAAGAACACGTTCAATACTTCAGCACCATTCATTTCACGATTGACAATCAAAACACCTCCATACCAGAAAGCCAAACCATAACTACCAAACATAATTAACATCATACTTCCAAGACCTATTCCACTAATGAATGCTTTTCTTCTACCAGATTTATAAGCAACTTCCAATTCTTTTTCGTAACGTTTACGTTCACGTTTTTGTCCACCAAAAGCAACAACTGTTCTTATACCCGATAAAACTTGTTCAGCCACACCTCCCGCAGAAGCATATGCATCTAAAAAAGAAATAATAATAATTTCCCTTTAATAATTATTAAAAATTATTTTATTTTTAATTAAAATAAATTATATAAAATATACCTTGTCCTTCTGAACTATCACTTGCGATCGCTTTTGCCATTATTCCACCCGATCCAACCAATAAAGGAATCACTATATAATTGATTAAAAAAAAATATTATATATATCATTGATTAAGAATTATCGGTTATAAAAATAAATAAATAAAAAAATAAACAATCTATTTACCAGAACAAAGAACAAGAGAAAGTTTCCATCCTAAAAAAAGGGGGGGGGGGGGAATTAAGTACAAATTATTATTATTAAAACAAATTAGGCTTAATTAGAAATATAAATAAAAAAGAATAATACCTTTCGTGAAAGCAATAATAAATCCGGCAAAGAAAGTGACGGTAAGTTGTATAATAAATCCAATTTTTTCGGAAATACCTTCTTGATATGCATCTAGTAATAGAAAATTTTCATTAACGCGTCAAATATAGAACTCGTATTTTATATATATATTTACAAAATCGTTTTTTTTAATAACAAGAAAATAAAATTAAGTGAGAATTTACTTATGTCGCCAGAAATACGCGTAGTGACGTCACCCGTCGAAATAGAGTCAAAGAAGGCGATGTCTTGACGAAGAATTGATGAATAATATAACCTACGAATACGCTAGAAATAAAAGTAAACAAAGAAACTTTTATTTTTAAGTTATTCTTTTTTTAATAATATTATAATGGAAAAAATTTTTATTTTTCATTAACATTTACCGCAGCTTGTCTTTCACCAGCTATCATCCATAATGACATTTGAAAATAACAAACAATACAAGTGGCACCACCTAAAATTAAGAATTTAAATACATTTTTTCTAACGTCTTCATCGAGTTTATTTCGGGCAATTCCAAGATCGCCGATATTACTATCCTTAACATATTCGAATTCATAGAATGCTAGAATAAAATCAGAAAATATAATAGTCATAACAGGAAGTGCTGAGCCAGAAGCCATTGCACAGAGACTACCGACGACCATATATAAGATATCCAAAGGGGAAGCGAATTGGAAAATCTTGGAAAACGGAATGGTTTCAGCTTTTTCTTTCGTTTCCTTCTTTTTTTTCGATTTTTTTAAGTCAATTTCATTTTCATCATCGTCTCCCTTCGTTGATTTCTGCGGAGGCAATGTATCAACTATGGACAAATCAACTTCGTTATTATTATCTGAATCATTCGACATATTTAATTATAATCTTATTTTTTTTTTTGAGTAGAAAATTAATTAACGGTATTACATATATATATGATTTGTTTATTTTTAATTAATTTGACTTATTTTTTATTGATTTATTTATTTTATATTTGTTAATTAATTTTTTTTTTTTTTAATTTTAATTTATTTATCATTCAATTATTTTTCACGTGCTAGAATTCAAAATAAAGAATTGACGAAGGAATCGTCGAAATGAAAGTAAATAACGAGAATCTCGTATTTATATTTGTTTTTGTATTCATAATGTGATAATCTTATTGTGATAAAAATAAAAAATTTCCTATAATAGTTATTACTGAGAATATTTGGTCGTAATATTCTTTATCGGTTTCGGCAAAAATTTGGCTCCGTATGGGAAATTTTTCTTCACATGGAAATATTTAAATTACAATGCAGAATTCTAGATATTTTGGAATTCTCTTTGATTAGATCGAAATTATCCGCTAGTTAAAAAAAAATCCTAATTACTACTAAATTGAATGTTTTCTTTGAAATGTAAAAAAAAATCGGCATAAGGAGTATTTTCTCCTTGACCTTGAAAATGATTATTCTAAATTTGAATTAACGTCGGGTGATAACCATTCCTAATAGTCACATCATCACACGGGGACCATGCGCGGATAGTCCGAAGTAAATCAGAAATGTTTAACATGCAGATAAATATCCAAACAATAGGAATTTTCTGCTGAGCAGCGGCGAATCACAAATACACCAAATGCAGTGATGAATTAAAGGTGTTTATACTTTTTTTTTTTGGTCTTTATTTAATGTTCTCTATTAGTATTTCACAAATCATATTAAAGATATAACATATATAGAATTATATTTGTTTTTTAATTTTTAATTTGATCTATCTGATCTTATGTTTTCGTGGAAATTCTAATTATAGTAAATTCTACTTATTATAGTAAATTCTACTTATTATCCGTGAGCCAAATATATACATGATACCTAATTAAGTTTATCAATTTATTGTTGCGCAGTTGCGCAGTTGCGCAGTTCTTGTAATTAAATTCCCATGATTACATATGTATTACCGTATATTATGAAACGCCGCAGAAGAACATCCATTCGGTGCTAAGAACATTTATTAATCACATGACAAATTTTCACATGAAAATATGTAATTTTTCGAAGTTTCGCTTGAATATATTTTTGCTGTTAATAGTTAAAGAATAGTTTATTATATTTATTTATTGAGAAAATTTTTATTAACAAAATGAGAAGAAATTCAAGAAATAGTAATGTACGTTGTACGTATATTGATGTAATAAAGATCACGTCAAAAACAGAAACAGCGTATCTCTCTTTTTTATTATTATTATTATTATTATTATTATTATTAACGAATATTCATTCATTTCTTATTTTCAATATTATTATTTAATAGCTGACATTTATCAACCTTTAATGGATGATGATGATGACGATAATAATAAACCTTTTGATGAACCAATGTTAAAAAATGTCGAAAGAGAGACAAAAATATCTAAGTTCGTTTATTTCATGACTTATACAATTGCTATGGGAGGTTTTATGTTTGGGTGAGTAAAAACTTTATTTCAATTTTCGAAAATTTATTTTATATTAATCTTGAAAAATTTAACTTAATTTAATTTAATTTAATCGATTTTTTTTTTAGATATGATACTGGAGTCATAAGTAGTGCTATGTTATTACTTGAAAAGGATTTTTTTATGACAGCTCTTCAGAAAGGATTTGTCGTTGGTGGTATGCACAGCACATTATAAATATTTTATTTTATTTCTATAATTTCTATAATTTTTATAATTTTTGTGATTTCTATGATTTCTGATAATGTTGATAATTAAGCTACAACATTTGGTGCCTTTATTGGTGGAATTGGTTCAGGTGAGAAGAAGAGAATTCCTTATTATTTTTTGTATTTTTTGAAGGAGAAATTTTAGAATTTTATATATATATATATTTATTATTTAAGGTTCATTGTCAGATTTCTCGGGGAGACGTATTACTTTAATAATTTCATCAATAATATTTATTGTTGGAGCAATTATTTTAGCTCTTGCTTCAAGTTATGAATTATTAATAATTGGAAGATTAATAGTTGGAATAGCAGTGGGTATTACCTCACAAGGAGTACCAGTTTATATAAGCGAAATTTCACCTAGATTTCATCGTGGTCATTTAGTCACGATGAATGTATTAATGTGTACAGGGGGGCAATTCTTTTCTTATTTGATTGCTACATTCTTGGTATTTCCAGGAGGTTGGAGATGGATGTTTGGAATTTCAGGAATTCCTCCGGCAATTCAACTTATTTGTATGTTTTGAACTATTATTTTAATTATAATGTTATTTTATTATTAAATTTGATCTTCTTTTATTTAATTTATTTAATCAAGGTTTATTCTTTGTTCCAGAGAGTCCACGTTATCTAGTACTTAAAGAGAAAAATGAACAAGCTAAAAATGTATTATCTAAAATTTATCCTGACGTAAATCAAAATTTCTTGGATGAAGGTATTTCAATTAATCCTTTAATTGATTAATGTCTATTATTAATATTATCAAATATTATAAAATGTAAGATATTGTAATATCCAAGAATTTATTGATTATTTATTTTAGAAATTCAAGTAATTAATGAATCAATAGAAACTGATTATTCTGGATCTTATAAACAATTAATTAAACATCCAAATCTTAGACCACTTATAATTTGTTGTGGATTACAATTATTTCAGCAACTCTCAGGATTTGATACTGCCATGTATTATGGTGTATGTATATTTATTATTATATTTTATTATTATATATTTATTATTTATTATTTTTTTATTATTCATATTATATTTTCATTTAGGCCACTATAATGAAAATGGCAGGATTTAGTTCTATTAGAGATGCAATAGTTTTCTCTATTTTTGTTTCATGTACAAATTTCTTTATGACAGGTAGATCCTTTCTATATTCTTATATATTATTTATTACATGATTTTCTTAATAATTATTTTTAAGATTATTATTTATCCTTTTCATTATTCTTTTTATTATAGTCGTAGCACTTTTTATAATTGATAAATTGGGAAGACGTAAAATATTACTTTATACAATTATTGGCACAGTAATTGGTTTAATAATTTTAGGTATAGGATTTATGCTTATCACTGGTCTTACTGTTAAACAAGATCAATGTGTAGATTATGGAATCAATTGTGGATCATGTGTAATTGATGAAAGATGTGGCTTTAGTATTGATGAAGGAACTTGCGTTAGTAGAAAACAAAGTTTTACATTAACAGATCAATTTTATAATAAATGTCCCAATTTGGATTGGAAGGGAAGTACATTTACTTTGGCTAGTTTAGTATTCTTTGTTATGGGTAGGTTTTGAATTTTTATAATTAAAATGTTTAAAAGTGTTTATGTGTTTAAAGTATAAACTTTGGATTTTATTATTATTATTGTTATTGTAGCATATGCATTAGGTTTAGGGCATACACCTTGGACTCTACAAAGTGAATTATTTCCTTTAAATGTAAGAGGTAGAGCTACTGGAATTGCAACAGGTTATTATGGTTATTTATAAAAAGTTATTATAAGTTGTTTAATAATTTTATGATTAATTTTATTAAATATTTAATCATTTTATAAAGCCACCAATTGGATGACTAATTTAATAGTTTCAATAACTTTTTTGCCGTTAACTGAAATGATTACTATTTCTGGTAATTAGAATTTTTTTTTCTATTCTTACCATAATCATAACCTTTATCATATTCATAATCTTGATCTTTTTTTTTTTTAATTCAAAAGGAACATTTTGGATGTATTCAGGGTTTATGGTAATTGGTTGGATATTTGTTTTCAACCTAGTACCTGAAACTTGTGGTAAATCTTTAGAAGAAATTCAAGGAATGTTTTTATAATAATAATTTAGTAGTAGTTATTTTTATGGATATTTATAAACCAAATAAAATATATTGTAGGTTTAAAAAAAGTATTATTCTTGTTATTAATAGATTTATTATCTATAATATTAAATCAGAACAATCAACAATAAAATAAAAAACAACAAAATGAAAAATGCCTCTTGATTTTTTTTATTTTGTTTATTTTAAGTCTCCATCCATTTATATGAACCCATTATCAAATATTGCTTTGGTAAACGACCAGGACAAGGTGCTAATATGGTCATCTTTTGTTTGACAATATCAACTTCAGATCTATTAAAAAAATATTAAACAAATGTTAAATAAGCAAAGAAAAATTAACAATCATTTAATAATAATAAAAAAAATAATTTAATAAAAATAAAAAAAAAATAATAAAAATAATAATATTAATAATAAATACATACACATAAATAAAACCAATTATACTAGTTTCAAGTAAACTCTGTTCATCCGGACTATTTGCCGAGGTGAGTGCTAAGATTGAATGACGTATTGAGTCATCAGGTTCTACTTTTACTAATTGAGTTTCACTAACTTTTCGATCAATGCCGATTGGTAATGCTGATGAAGGCGCCAAAGATCCTTTAATTAATTGAATAAATAATAATTGTTAATAATTTTTAATAATTTTAATAATTGATAAATTAATCTCTTCTCTTTCTTCATATACGAACCAACTCCAACACGATATATAAATACTTCATTTAAACTAATTAAAGTTGAACACGGAGATAATTCAAATTTTGGTAATCCATAAAAATATTCACGAATTTTACGCATTTGGGTTTGACGACGAAAAGTTTTATCTCGATCGACTACCTAAAAAAAATAAATTTAAAGTATAATTAATAGTAACTAATAGCATAATTAATGATAATAAATAATGCATAATTAATAGCATAATTATAATGTAAACATACCCCACCAGATTTAGCCAATTTCAAAACATTAATTCCTGGACGTTCTTTATATAATTTTGTCATGTCACTATATAATCTCTCATGGCCCAGAACAATAATTATATTCACTATTTAATATAAATATTATATATTATAAATATTCATTTTTGTATATATAATGTCCTTCGCTACGCTCCGGACAATAAAAATTATAAATATATTCAATATTCAAAAATTTACCTTCAAAACAATCAACACAATGTTGAATAATTTCATAACCAATATTATCTATCAAACCACTAGTATCAATCACAATTCCAGAAGTTTTAGCTGTTATTATTTTTTTAAAAGTATAATATAAAGAATGAATAATAATAATAATAATAATAATAATAATAATAATAATAATAATTAATAATAATAATAATAATAATAATAATTTATCATTTACCATCTTTATCATTGGCAATCCTTAATTTCACAGTATTAGCTAATTTGGCTGTTAACATTTTATAAAGTTTAACATTTTCTCCTGGATCTGAATATCCATAATAATAAGTTATTGGAATCATTGATGAACCTAAAAATGGTAAAGTTGTTGTGGATGACCCAAATCCTTCTTCTACATCTATAATTTGATTTATAGGTGTTGCTGTCAATGTTCCTGGCATTGTGACTGATCCCTAAATAATTATAATTATAATTACAATTACAAAAAAATGTTGAATAAATTATTTAAATATTAAATTACTTTCAAAATAACATACCTCATTAACATCCAAATCAACAAATATTGGTTGTCTTCCCTGACGAAGGGCATATGAAAGTAATATCTTACTTAAAGAAGTCTTTCCTACATCTTCAGGTCCAACTATTAAAACTTTAGGTCCAACTTCATCTCTAACTTTAGTTTCTTCTCTAAATTGTTCAAGTGCTAAATGCATATTAAGATAACTTGTCATTGGTGTTTCATTTGCTACATATTCTACACTACAAGTTCCTTTAATGTGTTGTAATTGTTAAGGACACACGTCATATATAATTTAATATAAATGCTCACTTTCTCAATACTATATTTAATTTCTATCACTCTCTCTCCCACATTTTATCAATAACAATAATAATAAATAAATAAAAAGGATATCTCTATTTTGCAACCATGCCATGTAAATAATGCAATTTTACGACCCGAAAATTCATATTCAGGACCTATTCCTATCTCTGTACCATAAATCTCTGCTGTACCAGAGATTAACTATTAACAAAAGAATCAATGTGAATAATATAATAATTACGTAATAATAATATATTATATTATACAATTATTGTAATTGTTACATATATAATAATTTCATTTTAATTTTAATTAAAAAATTAAAATTTATTTTTTTATTATTATTTTGATTTTTTTTTAAAAATACATTAATACAGTTGAACATTTATTAATTATTTAAATAATCAATAATAGTAATAATAAATTAATAATAAATTAAAAAAAAAAAATTTTTTTTTTTTTTTTTAAAAAAAATACTAATTTCTTATAAATTAACGAACCTTTAATTTAACGATAGTACTAAAATCGACTTCAAAGCGATATTCATGTTCAGGTTCAAGTATCCATTCTTTTGATACATCCTCAACCTATTATTATATCTAGATTAGACGTTTTTTTAAATAGATAATATTTTAATAGGTAATATTTAAATACCTTCGATCCAGTAGTTTTCATTTGATTTTTTGATAGGGTTATCATCTTTTTTTGCAAATTTAAAGAATTTAAGGTATTAATTTCCTAATAAAATTGACAATACATATCTATTTATTTCACTTATTTCTAATTTTGATTGGTTGATTGATTGAAAGTATGGTTGGGGACATCATCAAAAAATTACTAATTTTTAATTAAAATAGGAAATTTTTTAGTGTACAAATAAAAAAATAACTCATTATATTTTGATAGAACACGATTAGAGCTACAGAGATTATTCAAATTGAATAGTTAGATAAGCATTTAAAAGTACATGATTTTTATATGATTAGTGCTAATTTGACAGTCATGTGAAGGTATTTCATTGGCCGAAATTTATAAATTTTCGAAAAAATTATGTCATTTAATATGAAATTTTTAATCAAAAATTTGATTTTTCAAAACTCTTATTAAAAATCTTAACTTTTGTTGGGCAATTAATATATATATTAAACCATACAATTTGAAACATAATGATTTATCATTATAGAAATTTTGTAGATCGAAGTTTTAATCTATTAACTATAGTATCGAAATCAACTTCTTTGATCTTTAATATCAACATTTAATTAAGAGTTTAAAGATTCAAAAAAATATTTACAAATATATTATTTCTCAAATAAAGTTTTCTTTATTTAATTTAATTAAATAGAAATACAAATTTGTACTAATCAGTTTTGGCCGTGCGGTAAATTAAACAATAGTTTTAACAAGCATGTTTTGTTTTATTATTTTTCTTCTTCAATGTAATAAATAGTTTACAAATTGATAAAGCATTTTGGAGAGAGGCTCCATTGATTTATTATATATACAAATTTATACAAATTTATGCTATCTTTCCCTTTCACTTATAATGTATGCTGTCGATCGGGTCAAACGTACGCAATTGCAATTATCGAATATATACAGTATATATATATATATGTGTGCTAGTAAAAGAAGCATCGTTAAACTCGTATTCAAGTATTAAATAAAATACCTTTAATCCAATTTTCGTTTAGCTTTTCAATAGTATTCTCATCGTTTTTGTAAATTTAAAATTTAAAGTCTTGAATAAAATTATTTACACTAACATTCAAAAGTATTTATCCATGCAGAAAATAGTATTCATACTTAGCAATGCTTAGTATGTCTATTATTGATGTATTACAACCCATCCGGAACTATGCGCAAAAAACGAAAAACAGACACAAGTTCAAAAAAAAGTTAGTATCGTTACTATTGTTATTATTTATCCGTGCACCCATCCTCAATATCCATCCATACTATTAAAGAAAAGTAAATATTGTGCCTTATTAAATCATTGATCCATCTGAAATTCATACGTTGAAGAATGAAAATTTGGCTGCATTGTTATGTATTATGTAGATATATTTATTGTGGTGTTGTTAACTTAGAGGATGTTGTTGAAACTAGATTTATTTTTGACTTAATGTTAGCAGCTGATGAATTTGACCTTGAGGAATTATCCAAAAAACTAGAAACCCTTCTTATTGAGACTAAAGCTTCATGGTTGAAAACATATTTTTCTTTAGTCTACCATACTATCTTTGATAAACAAAACTTTAAAGATTTAGAAAATTTTTGTAATAACGTTGTAGTAAAGTATCCAAATCTCATTTTCGATGCTGAAGATTTTACATCTTTACCAGAATCTGCTTTGATATCTCTTCTCAAACGAGATGATTTACAAATGAAAGAAATTAAAAATCTGGGAATATACTATCGAGTGGGGAATTGCTCAGAATCCTACTTTATCTACAAACTTTCAAGAATGGACGAAGGATAATTTTTTGACTTTAAAAACTACTCTTCAACAATGCTTACCACATATTAGATATTTTCATATTTCTGGCCAAGATATTTTGTATAAAATACAACCTTACAAAAAAATTCTTGATAAACAATTCTGGAAAGATTTGATGCAACATAACTTAGATCCTAACCAACCAATAGAATCTATTTTACCTGCAAGATATATTCTGGTTCCGAATTACCTGTTCCTACAAAGAAACCTTTTTCAACTATAATTTCTAAAGAGCATGCAACCGAAATTTCCTCATGGATTGATCGTAACAATAATTATTCTTCAACAGATTATCCATACGAATTTCAGTTAATTTTACAAGCAAGCAGAGATGGATTTAATACTCAAACTATTTGGAACATGTACCATGATCATGCCAACACAGTGATGATTATAAAAGTTGCAAACACCGATGAAATTTTGGGTGGATACAATCCTCTAACGTGGGATAATACAACTGGTTGTAAATGGATGTATACAAATGATAGTTTCATTTTCTCTCTGAAAAATGGTAATATACAAAATTCAATTCTTAGCCGAGTAAAGAACCCTAAATATGCAGTTCATTTTTGTAGAAAAGGGTCTCAAATAAATTATGGTCTTAATTTTGGAAACAGTCTTTATATAAAAAAGAATGCTCTAGGCGAGTATTCTCGTAATAATTATTATGAAAAACAAATCAGAGCAGCAGGAGAGTTTGAAGTTGTTAATTATGAAGTTTTCAAAGTCAAGAAGAAAACTATTTGAGAATTTATTTTTAATAATAAATATTTTATAAAATTACAGTAAAATGTGATTAATACTTTCACTTTTTTTTTTTTGATTTCGAGTGTGAACAAAAATATTAGGTAACAGATGTTTAGGTAGTTACTAATTATTATTAATAATATTATTAATAGTCAATAGAGAGAGAAAATACGTATTTATTTATTACCAAGTGGTAATATTTAATTAAGACATTCAACTTTTGATAAGATACTGAATTAAATGTAGAGAATCAAACAATACAAGACTTATTTACATCTCGCTACATATATTAAATAATTTTTTTTTCACACTAGTAAGACCCATATTATACATGTGTATATTAAAACTAAAGCTTCATGATTGAAAATATATTTTTCTTTAGTCTATCATAAACAAAACTTTAAAGATTTAGAAGATTTTTGTAATAACATTGTAGCAAAGTATCCAAATCTCATTTTGATGCTGAATATTTTACATATTTACCAGCTCAAATGAGATGATTTACAAATGAAAGAAATTAAAATCTGGGAATATACCATCGAGTGGGTGGGGGGGATTTCTCAGAATCCTACTTTGCCTACAAACTTTCAAGAATGGACGAAGGATAATTTTTTGACTTTGAAAACTACTCTACAACAATACTTACCACATATTGGATATTTTCATATTTCTGGCAAAGATATTTTGTACAAAATAAAACATTACAACTCTGGAACAATATAACTTAAACCAATGAAATTTATTTTATCTGCAAGATTTATTAACTTTTTTCAACTATAGAGCATTCAGCCGAAATTTTCTCAAGGATAATTGTAACATTACTAATTATTCTTCAAAAAATTAACCATGAATTTACAAGCAAGTAGAGATGGATTTAATGCTCAATCGTTTTGGAACATATGCCACGGTTATACTAGTACAGTAGTAATTATAAATCTTGAAAATATAGATGAAATTTTTGGCGGATACAATCCTTTGATGGGGATAATATAACTTGTGGTAATTGATGTATACAAATGATAGTTTCATTTTCTCTCTGAAAAATGGTAATATACAAAATTCAATTTATAAAAAATAATGCTATAGGCTTTGTAATAATTATTATGAAAACAAATTAAAGCAGAAGTGGGAGAATTTAAAATTGTTAATTATGAAGTTTTCAAAGTCAAGAAGAAAACTAATTGAGAATTTATTTTTTAATAATTATTTTATATTTTCTTACCAACTATCAAATTCACTTATATTTAAATATTTCATAAAATTTTCACTTATTTTTTTATTTCTTTGATTGCGAATGTGAACAAAAATATTAATTTATAAAAAAAAAACTATATAATTCGCAATGTGTTGTATGGAGATAAAATACAAAGGTAACAGATATTTAGATGGTTACTAGTTATCATTAATATTAATAATATTATTAGAGAAGAAAAATCTTTTTTATTTTATTACAAGTGGTAATATTTAATAAGGATATTGTCAAAAAAAAAAGCATAAAATCATTCAACTTTTGATAAATATATTAATGTAAAGAAAGATTATTTATATCTCGCTCACATATATTAATAGATTTTTTTCACACCAGTAAGACCCACGTTATAAATGTGGTGTATTCTTTTATGTGAACATTCATTTTATAAAATTAATGCACAAAGGAATAATCAAAGAAGTACATAATACGAATATTATACATTTTATGTTATTACAAAAAATAATGTTTTTTTTACGAATTGCTATGTGCAAAACGAAAACAGGTGTTCATGGTCCATCAATAGATAAAAAAAAATTATCATTTTTCTGTACCTGTTTATCCTCTCGCTCCCAATATCCTTGCTTTGACATCCACATTATTAAAAAAAAATAAAATAAAAATAAAAGTTAATATTTGCCCTTTTAACTTAGTAATAAAAAAAAAAAAAGACGCGCGGGATTTCTCTGTGTCACCGATTGCATCAGATCACATTTGTCATCTGATCTGGAATAAAAGTAAAAAAAAAAAAAAGGAAAAAGAAAAACTGTCAAAATGGAGATAGATCAATCTTTGTCGGAAATATTATCAGTAACAACAGAAATAAATAAAGATATCGATAAAAATATTAAGGGAAAGAAAGTAAAAGGAGTAGAAGAAGTAGAAGAAGTAGAAGAAATAGAAGAAGAAGTAGATATAGAAGTATTAGAAGAAGAGGAAGAAGATACATGTTATATTCATGATAACCAATATGTATTAATTTTATTACCAAGTGGTAATATCAAAGTTGTCAAACTTCAAAAGGATAAGTGAGTGTGTATTGTTCTTTTAATATATTTAATTAAATATCAAATAATATTTAATAAATTAAATACTAATTAATTATTAATTAATTAATAATAATAATAAATAAAATAGAAAAATATCATTAGGAAAATTTGGAGTATTTCATACCAACGATATAATAGGAAAACCATTTGGACATTCATACGAAATTCATGATCGAGATAAAATAAAAATTATTCGAAACGTAGCATTTCGTGAAGTTGGTAAATATTAGAGATATATATATAATTAGATTTCGTTATAATAAAATGAATTAATTTTTGATAAATAATTTCTAGATGAAACAGATGCTAATAATAAAGAAACTATTGATGATCCATCTAAACAGAAATTATCTTATGAGGATATTGAACAATTAAAAAAAGATGGATTGGAAGGACAAGTAAATAATTTACATTTATTTAATTTAATTAATTTATTAATTTATTTATTATTTAATTACATATAATTTAAATTAATCTATTTAATTAATTAATTAGGATATTATCAAAAAAGTTGTAGAAAGTCATTCAACTTTTAATAAGAAAACTGAATATTCAAAAGCAAAATATATTAAACGTAAAGAAGCAAAGTATGCAAGATTTACTTATATATTTTTTTCATATTTTATATCTCGCTCTCTCACATCTTATATTATATCTTATTATATATATCTCTCTCTCGCTCTCTCTCTTTCTCTCTATTTAATAGATTTTCACGCGTTTTTACGCCAGTAAGACCCACGTTATATTCTGTTTGGGAATATTTTCATACCAAAAATCCCTCTAAAATAAGGTAATTATGATAATATATAACAATATATAATGATATGCAATATAATGCAATAAATGATACAATAATATAATAATAATAATATAATTAGGGAAATGAGAATTGATTCACTTTCTCAAATGTTAACATTAGCAAATGTCAGAGCATATAGTAAAATGTTAGTCATAGATGATACTCAGGGACTTTTAATTTCTGGTGTTTTGGAAAGATTAGGAGGTAAAAATTTTTATATATTTTTATAATCATTTTATTAAATATAATTTATTTATATCAAAATATTAATTCATATATACTAAAATATTAATTCAAAAAAGGATATGGAGTAGTGATAGGAATACATGATGGAGAAAATCATAATTTTGATATTATGAGATATATGAATTTTTCAAAAAAAATATATAATTCATTAAGAATATTGTCTTGGCAACAAGTTTTCAAAGAAGAAATTCAAGGTTTGACTTATTATTATTATTATTTATTAATTTGATATTTATTATTATGAATAAATTAATTTATAGACCATTAATAATTAATTAATAAATTAATAATAATTTATTTAATTTATAGCACCGTTCAATTATCAAAATGAATCAAACCTTTCAGAAAAAGAATTGAAATTCTATCATCGAAAAAAGGCCAACTATGAAAGAATAGAATCAACCAGAGAATTATTATTTAAAGGTGGATTTGATGGGTAAATAATATTTATTATTTTTATCATATAATTATTATTATTATTATTATTATCACCATTATTAACTTAACATTTATCATATTTGTTACTAATAATATTTCCTATATTTAAAAGATTATTGATTGCAAGTCAATATCAACCAGAATCAATTTTAGAGACATTCATTCCATATTTAAGAGGTTCAAGACCAATTGTAATTTATCACATCAATAAAGAAGTATTAATGAATACATGTGTTCACATGCGTATATCACGAATATATTTAAATCCTACAATAACTGAAAGTTGGTTAAGAGGATATCAGGTAATTAATTATTTATAATTATATGATTACTTATATCTTTTTATTATTTTTTTATTATTATATAATATTATATAATATATTTTTTAGGTATTACCAGGTAGAACTCATCCTTCAATGTCAACAAGTGGTGGAGGTGGATATTTATTAAAATCAACTTATATTATAATTGATGATAATAATAATAATTCTTCATCTTCATTGTTATCTACTAATATTAATAACATTGTCAATGAGAAAAATACGGAAATAGATAATAATATTATTATTAAAGATGATAATGCAGATGATAATATAGATGATAAAGTTGATTTCGAAAAAATATCAAGTAAACGTGCAAAATTAAATAAAGAAGATTAATTATTAAATTAAGCATTTCTTGTATTATCTGTATTATCTGTTAGTTTTTTTTTTTTTTTTAAGAAAACTTTGCTCACAACAACTATTACTATTTTTTCTCTTTATTATTTATTCGAAGAATAATAGAGTGAAGAAATCTATGTTTGCTAGATTTCAATAAACAAAAAAAAAAAAAAAACTTAATAACTTTTATTGACTAAATATTTTTGAACAAGAAGTAATACAAACAATGTAGTATTATAAAAGAATAATATAGGAATCGAACTTAATGAAATTATATCTCTGATTTTCTATTTTTTAAGCAGAGTTGGGATCTATCTAAGGGATATTACTCCACAAATGATGATAGGATTGCTGATTATCAATCATATTGAATGATGTCGCCATATGTTCGGAACTAGGAACTATAACTAATCAATTTGCATAACTGTTAATAATTCATTATACGACTTACATACACTGAAGCCTGTGTTATAGTGTATCCTGGTATAAATCGTGATGGCTGGTGGACAAATAAAGATATCATCAAACAAGTAAAAGAGAGCATCAGGAAAATTTTCGGGCGTATATTTTCGTCATATTACACCACTTACGTCTTTTTTTTGACTTCGATCGTGACAGGAAGCGATTTCTATTAAGGTGTTTCTAAGATGGATCGAAATCCCTGTTCCTGGCTACAAAATGATATCTGCTTCATTCCTGAAGCATCAATATTCATCGAGATATTCACGTTTAAATTCGGACGTCCGTGAAAAATTTCTGTCATAAATTAAACCGTGAATGTCAACGCTACCGAGATTAAACACGTATCATTTTGTAGCTAAGAAAAAGGCCTGTCTTTAAATATTTTAATAGAAAATCGTTATACGCTTAGAAAATCGCGAGCGATGTCGAAAAAATGGCAAAAAAAAAATGGAGATTTTCACCTTTTTTTTATGTTTTTTCGACTTCGCTCGTGATTTGCGAAGCGTAGAGCGATTTTCTACTAAAATATTTCTAATGTAGAAAGAAAGGCCTTTTTCTTGGCTACAAAATGATACGTATTTCATCTAGGTATCATCGATATTCGCAGAGTTATTTGCGTTTAAATTCGAACTTCTGTGAAAAATTCAGGAAAATTTATGACAGAAATTTTTCACGGACGTTCGAATCTAAACACGAATATCTCCGCGAATATCGATGCTACAGAATGAAATATGTATTATCTTGTAGCCAAAAACTAGGGCTTTCGATCTGTCATAAAAATATCTTAGTAGAAAATCGCTACCTGTCACATAATCGTGTATTGTAATTTCTATAAATCACAACTCAATAAGTATATGGTGCAAACAGTCTAAACTAATTTTTAAAAATGTAAAGGCTTCCTCATTTTTTTTTTTATTGTTCCAGCGAGGCCTTGCCTCAAATTTATTAATTAGAAAAAGAGAAAGTCTTTTACATTACATATAATTACATAATACAAAATACACAACTTATTCTAATGTTTGTTTGAAAAGATGAGACTCAGAAATTAGACATGTGCGACGCTCTGATTGGTTGATTTATTCATCAGAGCTATTTAAAAATTTTTTTTTAAAAAAAATATTAATGTTAATATTTTTATTTGTAGCTACGGATATTAACATTAATTATTTTTTTTTTATAGCTACAGTTTTTAAAATAGATTTATTTTTTTTTTAAATTAATAAAAAATAAATTTATTTTTTTTTTTTAAATTAATAAAAAATATTTTTTATTACAGCTATGACTTTTTGAAATCACAGCGGATGGACAAAGGTAAGTTTGATTTTTTATTTTTATATTTTTTATTTTATAAATAAATAAATATTTCTTTCTCTTTTTTAGGTTTGTAGTGGAGTTCGTGAAGTTTATAGTTATTCAGAATCACAATGGTGTTACCATGAGTTTCCTCTACTTTCATAATTTCTTATTATTTTATTTTATTATATTCTTATTTGTATTTATTTTATCAGTATAATTATTTTAGTATATTTAGTTATTAGTATTAGTTTATTTAGTAGTGTAATACGAATTATGTAAATCAATAATATAAATCATAGTGGTTCAATTACTGATCAATTTACTGACCAATTTAGTGACCAACTGATTGGCACAATTACTGATCAAGATTTTGGCCAACTTACTGATCAACTTACTGGCCAAATCAAATATTATAAAAAGGGTGAGTTTTCTCTTAGCATGGCAGAAGTTCTCTTTTATTGGTTGTCAATTAATAAGATCAGCTATCAGAAAATAAGATCAGCATAAACTGTGATTGGCCAAAAAATATAATATACAGTTAACTCAAAAAATGAGAACTTCATGTATATGTGTGTATTTTCTTTGCGCATTTTATATTTCATTTAAAAATGACAAAAAAAAATTTAGGTCTGTGTTCAATAGAAAATTGTACATACTATAATGTTGCCTTTCATCAAATTACAGAGCTTGCTTATCAGAAATGTCAAGAAACAAATATGTTAACAGCATATCCTTATCTTGAAAAAGGAAAGCAATTTTGTCATCCACATTATTGTACAATAGTAGAGTTTAAACATAATCAAAATAAACATAAACGAAAAAAAAAGTCAAAAGAACAAGGTAGTAGAAAAAAAAATTTAAATAATGAATCTCAGTTATTAAAAAAGACCACAATGAAAGTAATATAATCAAATTAATTTAAGTAATTTTTATTGAATAATAATAATATTAATTTTTATTAATAATATTAATAATAGTTTTAATGAATGATCCAACATTTGCATTAAAAATAAAAACATTAACAAATGTATTATATATTAAACAATGTCGGGAAGGTGCCAATTTAGAATTAGAACCTCAAGAGTTTGAAAAAATGATAGAAAGTATGAGTCCTGAACTTAAAGGTTTTTTTCTTACAATGGTTAATGCAATTATTCCTAAAGAAAGATCAACACATAACAAACAAGAAGTCAAGAAATCAATCGTAGCTTTATGTTATATGATTACTGGTTTGCAAAATAAGTTTATTAATTAACTTAAAACTGAAGTTGGATTATATTTGACAACATCAGGTACTACTTGGGAGGCTATTGACACAATTTCAAGTTTAGGATACTCTGCATGTTTTAAAACAATAGAAGAATATCGTAAAAAAATTCAAAAAGAACATACAATAAAAGTTGAACAATACTTTATAGAAAATGTAAGTTATATTATTTTAATTTATATTAAAATTAATTTAAAACAAAATTATATTAAATTAAAATATTTTTTTATTTAGAAAAATATTTTACATATCTACAATATAGATGATTATCATTCAATTCATGAAATTCGTCGGCCAAATGCAGTTTCAACATCATTAGCAAAACACTTTGCAACTTGTGTTGCAAAACCTGTTGATAAATTTCCTTCTGTACCACTTATATTTAATGGAATTTCCATTTATAATCCATCTAATGTAGAAGCACCAAGAATTTGTTGGTATTTAATTAATAAATATACTGGAGTATTTGATGTTTCATATTTAGAATATCAAAAGCATTGGATTTCACAAAGACAATTAGTTATTCACCAATTTGATAAAATTGAATTATTAACAATTCATAATTATAATGATAATATAGTAGAGAGAAAAGATGAGCGCTCAATGAAAGGGTTACAATTAATTGGATTTAAGGAACAAAATTTGCATTCAATTCATGATTACCTCAATGCTTTGAAAATTATTATATCCTTAAATAACAAAACACATTATTTAAATGAGAGAGTTGCACCAGTTGTAGCTGATTGGCCAGGTCAAATATTTATTAGAAAAGCCTTATATATGCAAACATTACCAGAATTCCAATCAGTTTTTCCACAAGAAATCAAATCTTTTCTACCAATGCTTGGCCCACTTCATGTATCATTAAACAGCAGAGAACATGTAATGTTGAGACATCATTCATTTTTTGAAAATTTATTTCATTTTGTTTTTGGTAAAAATAAAAAATTGGCTAAAAAACCTCGACCTTGGAGAACAAATCTTTTATTAGAATTAGCAAAATGTGGATGGCTTAAAATAAAAGATCAAGTTATGAAAAAATTTGGTAAAGTTTGCAAAGATATTGAATATCAGACTGCAATTGATTTGCTTGATAATTTAATTCCAGCAGTAATTGATATTTATGCAACTTTATTTTGATCTGGATTATTTGAGGAATATGTGGAGACTGTTTTTCGCATTTGGACTTTTGCTTTAAGATGGAAAAGAAAAAATTACAATAAAGCTCCTTTAGTATTTCTTTCTGATCTTTTTTATTGGAAAGATTTTAATCATCCCTTTTATAATGCACTCCAAAAGCATTTACCAAGTTTTAATGACTATTTTGTAGAAAATACTCATAGTAAAATTAGAGCCAACACATCTCCAAATGCAACTGTAGATAATATTATTAAACAAGCATATGTAATAAGTATGTTATTTCCAATTTCTATTAAATGTAATAATATTTTATTTAATAATTAAATTATTTTATATAGTGAATCAAGATTCCATATTTAAAAATACATATTGTAAAAAGTGCCATTATCCTTATAATAATTCAACACTGGAATTTTTATCTAATAAAACTAGTATTTTTTTATTACAATATTTTCACAATTTATATAATAATCTTGGAAAAAGTGTACCCAAATTAAACAAAAAAATTAAAAAAAAACATCCTGAAATTTACATATTAACTACTTTAGGTGAAGAAGTGGATTTGCGACGATTACCAACTGGATATAGCACTTCGTATCCACCTAAGCAAGGATTATGTGATCGGTGCAAAGCTCCATTGATTAATGAGAATGGTGTAACTTTTATTTGTGGCCATGGATATCACACAAGTTGTTATAATGGAAAATGTATATATTGCGAGGAGTTCTACAAAAAAGGAATTTATGAAAATGTTAATGCATTTTTAAAACGGGTTGAAAAGGGCGCAGATACACTTACACAGGAAGATCTTGATAATGAAGAAAACGATATAGAGGAGGAGGAAAATCAATCTGAAGAAACAGAAACACAAAATATTTCAAATAAATTGCAAATAGAAATTAGTCAAATAGAAAATTGGTGATAATATAAATATAAATATTCTGTATAAAATAGTTTAAAGTCTATTTTCTTCTTTTAAATACTTGAAGTAATAAAATAGTATTAATATACAAATGTGTAAAATTTTTAATAAAAAAACAAATAACAATAGAAATACTAATATATTACTTTTAAAAATTGTTCTAAGGTATCTCGCGTAAATCGGAGATGCCCAGAGATGCCATAGTAAATTGTGTTAGAAAAGCAGTCAAAAAACGGTTTACTAAAGTATCGTAACGAGAGGTTTCGGCTATCAATTTGACACTATATAGTAACGTAAAATCATATATCTCTATTATATAAAAATTTGTGTAACATGATCATCAAAAAATCAAAAAAAATTGTATTTTAAGAATCGAAGTAATAGTAATTTTTATTTTATTTTTTTTTTAATTTAATTTAATTTATTTCTTAAAAAAATAACAATGTTATAACTTTAATTTTTTAAATATTTCGTACGCATAAATTAACAAAGTTTAAATTTTATACGTCTATAAAGTTTATAAAGTTTATAATAACTCCATTACAAGAAATTCAATTTTTTCGATCCACGTAATCAAAATAATTTTGATGTGGCTATTTCAATAAATTTACAAGAAACTTTGAAACAAGAACTTCAATAATTGTTGTTGATAATTTACAACGTAATTTTTATCATAATTATCCTTTTAGCCCATATATTATTATACACGAAAAACGTTTAAAATTAAAGTTAAATTTATTAATTTTCAATAATATAAAAGAATTTTTTTTGCTAATAAAAGAAATGAATTTATATTAAACTTTAAAAATATTAAATTAATGAATTTAACATATTTTTGTTCAAAATTATTTATTAATTTTAATTTCAAATAAAAGTTGTAAAAAAAAAAAAAAAATTATATATTTAATAAAATTGTATAAATTAACAAATAATATTTTTATTATTATCTTCTACAAAGTCCCTTACGTCAATATTAAACTCAAAACACATTGAACTACATCTTAATTGTATGTCAGATTCTTTATGTACACGTTCTTTCCAACGAAATGTGGCATTATAGGTTTGTTGTGCATGTTGCATTAATACATATGCACATGTTCCTGTCCGCTACCTCTTTTTTCACCTTAATTTTTATTATTAAATATAATATCTAATTTTTTATATCCTTGACCACCTTCAGATTTACAAGTGCACTTTCTTTGAACTGGTGAGTATTAAAAAGTTGGTGATAAAAATAAGGAAAATGTGATATGATATAACACGTAAATAACATAAAAGATAGACTCATTTGGTTTCATTTGAACACTCCGTATTTTTTTTTGATATTAATATCTTTAATATTTGTATTCTGAGTAGTTTCCTTATTTGGTATTTTATTTTTCTTAAAAATAGCTTCAAGGGTTGTCGCTTGAAAATTTAAATTCTCAAATTTTTCATTAAAATTTGTAAAACTGTTAAAACTTATTTCAAGAGTATGAGCCATCTTGGGACATAGTTGGGCTAACTTTGATTCTGTTGATAAATTCCAACTACTTGTAATAACTTGCAACATAACACTTGAGTAATAGTAATACGAAATCCACACATTGCTTTAAGAATATACCAATCACAAGAGTGTTTTCCAGGAGCGAAGTTTCTTCTATTGTTGACATTCTTATTGGGGTTATCAATGTGATTATATTTCCATGATAATCCAGTTCTACCACAACCATCAACAATTAGTTCCCATTGTTTTGTTGTGGTTGTGGTATTATTCGCATTACTTTTACCATAGTTTGCTTTCACTTGAGCACCCAATTTATAGCCAATTTCTCCATTAATTTGTCCATCAATACCTTTATTCACTACAGAAGTTTCGGAAATATCAATATCATTGTTAGACTGATCTGGAAATGGATTATCTTTAACTCTGTATAAAGGTTCATCAGGAGTGGATTCAATTGGTGAGACACAAATTTTAACAGATTCAAGAAAATAACCCGAACCAGTTTTCTAAGTGATGGCCATTTTTCACTAACCATTTCTCTTATTATTTGATATCTTTTTTTTAATTTTTTTTATTATTTTTTTTAATATTTTTCTCTTTTTTCCTGATTTTTTGCTATTATTATTGTTGTTGGTATTATTATTATTGTTGTTGTTGTTGTTGTTATTATTATCATTGTTGTTGTTATTATTACTATTACTACTATAATTATTATTATTACTGCCGTTGTTGTTATTATTGTAACTGTTATTATTATTATTATTATTATTATTATTATTATTATTATTATTATTATTATTATTATTATTATTGTTATTGTTATTACTATTAATATTATTGTTATTACTATTATTATTGTTATTGCTGTTGTTACTAAAACTATTACTGACTAGATTACCTTTATAAGAATGATTATTTTTATCAATGCCCTCATCTGGGAGAGGTATCACATGGCTTACAACATCAAATTCATCATCAAACAATGCTTCAAGCTTTTCCATAATAGTCATTTCAAGTTTCTCAGTAACCCCGAATGAAATGCATGGCACAGAGGAATCTTCCTGAAAATCGAGTCCCATAATATATGTAGGTTGTGACTCTAGTAGTATTTCGTCAATTTCATTTTTTTTCTCAACAATCAATTTAATTAGCTTTTCAATTTTATCGTGTGAAGTAGCTGAAGTTCCAAAATATAAATTTGATTTTACCGAAATGAAATCCGAGACATTTGAACGATATTGTTCATTCCAAACATTTGAGTCACCATCATTGCTAATGTTAATTTTTGGTTTATTGAAATCAATGCAATTGAAGATATCGTTATTGGTTTCAACTTGATTTTTTAATTCTTCGATGTCTTGATTTGCTAAAAAGAAAGGTTCTTTGACATTAGATGATACAAATAATTCATTAAATTTAAGCCCCCTATTACTCGTGGAATATAAGTTTGGCAAAGTACCTAAAAAATATAATTTTAATTAATTAATTCTTTTGAATTTCAAAATACAAATTATATATATACTAGAGTAACTTATAATATTTAATCGATACTTACTAGTACTTAAGTAACTTAAATCTGAAACAGGTAAATATTTAGTTAATTCTTCAGGTTTATATTTAACTAAATAAAGATAAAATAAATTAGTTTTTTTTTTTTTTTTTTAATTATATTATAAAAAAAAAATTAAATACACGAGAATATAATTGATACTTACCAACACTTAAAGCAGAGGTAGAATTTGAAGAATTAACAAATTCTATTTCAAGATTAGGTACATGTAATCTAGATACAACTAAATAAAAAATAAATTAATATTTTTATATTTTTAATTATAAAAAAATAAAATATACGAGAATATAACTGATATTTACCAACACTTGAAGCAGAAGTAGCAGAGGTAGAATTTTTTAATTCTTCAAATTCTATTTCAAAATTAGGTACATGCAATCTAGATGCAACTAAATAAAAGATAAGAACTAAATTAATATTTTTTATATTTTTAATTATAAAAAAATAAAGTATACGAGAATATAATTGATATTTACCAACACTTAAAGCAGAGATAGGATTTGTTAATTCCTCAAGTTTTTTTTCGTAATTTTCATCATTCTTAGGTTTTGGAAGACCTTCATAATTAAGAAGTCGACTTGTATAAATTGCTTGCGGATGTGTTAGATAATTATAAGGATTCAAAGTTTTTTTTGAATTCGCTAATTCTAAACTTTTGGAAATTTTTTCATAATTTTCAATTTGAATTGTGATTTCATTATTATTTTTAAATTCATTATCTTCATAATTATCAAGATATTTATTCAACTCATTATCCAATTCTTCGAAGGTAGGTCGATGACTCCTTCGAGCATCCCAACATCTCATAATTATTTTTGTAATTAATTTAGGAGTATGAAATGGAATTTTTGGTCTTAATCCATTACATATTTGTCCAGCTAAATATTTATCGTGTGGAATATAATGGTATGGCGCAAAACCAGTAACAATTTCATAACCTATAATACCAAAGGAATAAACATCGGCTGCTTTGGTATATTCTTCTCCACTTAATACTTCTGGAGCTATATATGGCAATACACCAAAGATATTTCTCTTCTCGGAATTTTTTACATTTTGTTCAACCAATTTACTTAAACCAAAATCTGAAATATATAAAGTACTAAATTTAAAATTATGTGATACAATATTTCCAGGGTGAAAATCTTGATGAATTATATCTAATTTATGAAGTTGTTTAAAACTATGTGCCAATAATCTTAAATAATATAATTTATTTTCCCAATTAATGTCATTAAAACTATTCTTTAAATAATCTCTAAGATTTCCATCAGAAGCATAATCTAAAACCATTATAAATTTATCAGTCTTTGGATCTTTTGTTATTCCGAAAAGTCTAATTGTATAATCAAAATCTGTATTCATTGATCTTAAGTGAATCGACATCTAAAGAATATATATTTTTAATTATAAATAATTTAAAATATAATTTAAAAAGCAAATTTACATATATTAATAAATATTTTTACCTCATTTAAAAATTCTTCATTTAAATTTTCAAAATTATTATCAAACTTTTTTAATGCTACATCTCGTTGACCCGTTCTGTTCCACTGTTTATTTTTTATATTCCATCCATGAATTGGTCCATCAATCCATTTAGCTTTATATATTGTTCCATATCCACCTTTTGCTATTTCTTTAATATCTTTAAATTTATAATAAGGTATCCATTCAATTGCTTTAAAACAATTGCCTGCATTTAATTGAGCATCTTGAATGAACTTATCTATTATGTTATTTCCACTTGTCCATTTCTTAAAATTATTTCTGAATCGTGTTGAATTGCATGGTTTATTATATTCTTGATTGCATTCTGGACATTTTCCAAACGAAAAAAATGGCTCTTTCCTTCCCGAATTTTCTATATTATTGTTGAGTCGTTAAGGGAATTAGTTAATATTAAACTTATATTGAAAATGTTTATAATAATTTAATTAGAAAATCATTATAAATTTACCTATGCCTTTTTGTAATTTATCAAGACTATCAAGTAAAAATTTCTTTTCACGTTTTGTGAAAAATGAATCGTTTTTGATTACTTTCTTAATATATTTTTTTTTTATCAAAGATTATTTTGTAAATATTTGGAGCGAGAGAAGATTCTATTTTATCTCTAACTTCATTCAATTTCTTTTCCCGTACAATTTCTTGAGTAGTCATTTACTAATTTATTCATTAATTAATATATTTATTCATTCATTAATATGTATTTTATTATTTATTAACTAATTTGCAAAGAAAACATAATATAAAACTTACCGTGGAATAGGTTACTAATGCTCTAATTCTTTAATTGAATATGTTATGCGCAGAAAGTTAATAATTCCGTGTTGATATATTTAGCTATAGATCTGAAAGATTTTATTATTCTTTGTATGTAAATTATTTTAGTTACTGTCATACTACGAAAATTTTTTTTTACTGTTGGTTCATAATATTGGTACTGTATTTATATTTATAAACTTTTTATTGGTTGTACAAAGATAATATTTCATTCATAAGTGCTGCATTCTATAATAGAATTCTTTTATTAGTTGCACAAAAATGGTCTATTTTCTGCATTGAAAATTGTTATATACCATCTTTAACAACTCTATCCACAAATGTTTGCTCACTGTATTTAGACCCAAATCTAGTTTTAGTGGTAAGTAAGGAATCAAATTATTAAACTTGGAATAGTTATAATTACTATAATAGGTTGTGCCCCTAAAATAACAGCTTTCAGAGCTGATGCACAAACTTTATTTGCAACCACAGTTGTCAGGAAGTCCGGCTCCGACGAGCAGGATTTGACCTAAAAATTCAATTTTTATTTTTAAAAAAATTTTTTCTCATAAGATTGGCCGATAAACTATTTCCAAAAAATACTTCTTCAACTCTGCTAGGGTCGAGGTTTGCTTTTTTTTTCAAAGCAGCTACAAAAAAGAAACCAACAATAAAATTAATTTTTTAAAAAATAATTTCACAAATTATCGTTAAATCTCGTTCTTGCATAAGCAGCAATATAGATAATGATGATGAAAACAATTATTATTATTATTATTACAAGAAATGTATATAGTTTTTATGAGCTGCAATATCTTTCTTTTTATTTTATCAGGGCAAAAAAAGGTTGAACCTTTTATATCTCTGTGATCAAATTTAGTTTCGGAAATAAAAACAAAGTTTATCTGTCTTATGATCCACGCATAATTTCGTGTTGATAAATAATTCTAACTATTATATATAGTATTTTGTGACTAAGGTTTTTTCTGCTGTCAGTTAAAATTCTAAACTATTTTACTCGAAAAAAGTAATTTAAAAGAAACTAATCTCTGTAATTTTTTTTTTAATTTTTGGTTTTTTAGAAACTAAAGAGATAATAAAACATGGGATTTGTTAGAGATGTCACTAACAGTTATAATTGTCACGTGGAGATATAGTTTATGCTGACGGCAAACAAGAAACGAATTTAGGCATTGAAGGTGTTGATCTTTAAATTATTATAATATTTTTATTCAATGGATGTTAAAGTAAATTCTCGAAAGTGGCATGACATTCTTTTTAGAATAATGATTATTCGGTTTAGAAGCGCAACTTTTTCTTTTGACAATGCGCAAATCTACATCGATGATCAATTCCCATTTCGATAGTGTCGACTATTTTTATTCAACCTAAAATTTGTTTCGTATGCAAGTAAGGAAGAATAATTTCTTTTAAACATTTTTTACAATAAATAAATTTTAAAATATTTTATTATGATTGTTCTAAAAAATACAATATGATTAACTTGATAATTTGATTATTGTTACATATTTTTACCCGTCCGTTAAAATACTTCCTAGTGTTAAAAATACAATATGGATAATTTGATATTTATAACTATTTTTACTCGTTAAAATATTTCCCAGTGTTAAAAATACAGAGTTGATGAAAATTTTCTGACTGAATGCGTGCTAAAAATACAGAGCTGATGTAATATTTCTAATGAGAAATTATGCACTCAATTGATTAATTTAAAAATACAAAAATGGAGTATTCAGATTATATGAAAAGTCCTTTTAAATTATAAAAAAATAAACTAAACTTGAATATTAAAATCGTTTCTTGATCTTATTTTACTTTCCTAAACATTTGTAATTTCTTAGCCATAAAATTTCTAGGCAAAATAGTTGAACGTTTTTTATTTACGGAATTATTGTATTCCACACACAATTCCTTAACATCATCTGGAAGGGTTTCTTTACTGAATTCTGTGGGCCTTTCAATTAATTGAGCCACCATACCCAATTCTACGTGCCATTCAATATGACAATGGAACGCCCATACACCAGGATTATCTGCAAGATATCTTATTACTAGGTGACCTTGTGGAGGTACTACAGCAGTATCCCTAATGACTGGATTTTCCAAATTGAATGTAGATAAATTTTTGGGATCTATTCCCGGTCCTGACGCAATTAACCAAAAGGCGTGACCGTGTAAATGGAATGGATGATCTGTTCTCAAACTATTTAAAAGAATAATTTGAACACATCCCTCGGAGTGATCATAACCGTATGCGTTTTGAGATACTTCGAAATCAGAAAAACCCCCAGTTTCCAATATCCTTTGATTCGAAGGATTATTGAAAACAGCAACAAAGGATGAATTATTGATTCGGAAGGTACTGACATTTTTATCATCAGGAGCGAATGTGACGTTAAATACAAATTCATCAGTAACGTCGACGGGTGGTTTACTATCTTCGTATGGTCGTATAGCATCAGCATTAAGATCCTCACAAGGTGGGAGGTCAAATGAATATGGAGTTGATGTGGGTTTATTACTGTCAGCACCATCATAGTGAAGAATACCAGTACCATTGGTGAGAGAAGAATTATAGTTGATAGTATTATTTGGTCTAGGTACACATTGATCAGGAATGACAGCCCGGATGAAATAATTGGCAATTGGTTGATCACAGTTAACTACAACCGAATACCGTTGAGCACAATGAATTGGCAAGACATTTACTATGGAAGAATCAGTATCTTTTACAGAAACCCCGTCAACTTCAATAACCTTGAGTGAATGATTATCAATGGTAAAGAAAAAGAATGCGTAGGCACTAGTGTTGATGATGCGAAATCTATATTTCTTTCCTTTTTGAACATTATAGGTGGCAGGTGTGACATTAGAATTACAATTACTACCTGCTGCTGGTGACGAACAGTTGTATTGACCTGCACCACTGATAAGAATAGAATCAGGGACAGGCTATAAAAATGTACAAAAAGTATAAAATGTAATTAGAAATCACAAAATTATAAATCACATAAATTAATCACATAAATTAGTAGCTTACATTTAGTCCCGTATAGCCAGGAGCCATTCTCAAAGGAAGAAGTACTGAAGTAGGATCATGATACCAATCACTTATCGTAAGTACATATTCTTCATCACAATTATTAAAATAATAGTCTTCTGAATCATGAACAATGAGTGGACCAACTAGTCCATCAACATATTGAGCAAGAAAATGCGAATGATACCAATAAGTGCCAGATTGAGTCAAAGTGTAATTATAGGTGAATGATTTTTTATCCGGAATAGGACATTGGGTTTGCCCTGGCACTCCATCGTACCAATTTGTTCCGCGCTGGAAAATTCCGTGTGAATGAATAGTAGCAGGTTCCCCAAAATTATTAGTTACTTTGAACACTATGCGGTCGCCTTTATTAGCTTGAATGAGAGGTCCAGGGTACTGACCATTAACCGTCCACACAGTTCTTTCAAAACCATCAGGAGAAAGATTTTCTTTTCTCAATTCAAATTCATAAGAACGAGTTGTGGGTGAAGAATCTGTCAATTTAGGTAAAGGATCAAAAATATACGGTACAGGTTCTTGCCTAGGTTCTAATTCAAAAAATTCTTTTGGGACAATTGGGGATGAAGTAACAACATAGAAACTGCATAATAAAACACCGATAATTGAAAATATTTTAAATTTCATTTCTCAAAGATCAATATAAATATTCAAGAATTAAATTATAATAATGGAGCAATTTTGTCGTGAAGAAAAATTCAAAAAGAAATAATCGTTTTGGATAATCGACCAAGAGGTTCGATATTGTGGTCTTTATATATTTGAAAAAAAGATTGTCTTATTAGAATGAACATATTCGATTTTTCAAAGTTACTCCTTTGTACGCACAAAACACGAAATCATCGTCGAATTGTTATAACAATTGTATAAATAAAACATTAATAAATAAAGTAAAAAATAAAGTATAAAATAAGTATAAAAATAAAATAAAGTATAAATATAGAAATAAATTAATTCGAAAATGCGCGGTTAAAATATATTGTCATGAATTATTTATTAGATTTATTTGATTTTTAGTTTACACGAATATAAAAAAAAAATGTAAATCTTTATAATATAAGTTTATTTATAGAATATCCAAATTAAGTATAATTAAATCAGCACGCACACCTGGTAATAATAAGTTTGCCCCTCGAATGATCAAAAATCGATTTTGTCTATTTTTTTCATTTATGCTATAAATATATGATATATATAGTATATGTAAAGTACATACATGCACAAACTTTATTAATAGTAGTCCCGTTTTATTTACTAAGATTAGTTGGTAAACCATTTTCTAAACTAGGTTCGTAGTTTGCTTAATCCACCAGCTGGTGTTATTTCCTAAGCAGTGATATAGACATCTAATAATGAAAAATTATTATTACAAGAAATATATAGATTTATTAAAACTGATTAAAAACTTTTATGAATTGCCGTATCTTCCTTTTTATCTTGTCGGACCTTTTATATTTCCGTAATCAAATTTAGTTTTGAAAATAAAATTGTTTTTAAAAGTTCGCCAGTCTTTTTAAATATATGATCCACACAATTTTTATAAATACTTATAACTATATTATTATATCTGATGTATAGAGTATTCTGTGACCAAGGTTTTTCTTCTGTCAATTAAAATTCTAAATTTATCTGACTAACAGTCATAATTGTCACAGAGTAAAAGTCTATGCTGGTAGCAAAATAATAAAAATCAAAGATTCGTGCAGATCACAGATATTCACTAATTGAAGGTGCGGATGTTAAACTTTTAAAAATGGTATGGCATTCTTTTTGGAATAATGATTATTCGATTTAGAAGTGCAACTTTCTTCTTTTGACAATGTGCGAATGTACCTAATTTTGGGATATTACGTTAGCATTAATTCCCATTCTGACAATCGAGTAGAAAGGGCTCTTTTTTATTTAACTTAAATTTGTTGTAAGAATTCTTTTTAAACAATTTTCACAATAAATTAGATTTAAAACATTTTTATCAAAAGTAATAATATCAACTTGATAATTTGATTATTGTTGTTATATTTATAATTATTTTTACTCGTTCATTAAAATATTTCCCAATGTTAAAAATACAAAAATGATGAAAAACTTCTAATTGAATGCGTACTAAAAATACAGAGCTAATGTAAAATTCTAATGAGAAATGATGCACTCAATTGATTAATCTAAAAATACAAAATGAATAATTCAAATTATACGAAAAGTCCTTTTAATTATTAGAATTATAAAATAAAATAAAATTAATAAAAAATTGAATATTAAAAATTGTTTTTTGATATTATTTTACTTTTCTAAACATTTGCACTCTCTTAACCATTGAATCTCCGGGTAAAGTTGAACGTTTTTTATGTACGGAATTATTGTATGATACACACAATGCCTTAACTTCCTCTGGAACGGTTTCTTTACTGAAGTCCGAGGGTCTTTCGATCAATTGAGCCACCATACCGAGTTCTACGTGCCATTCAATATGACAATGGAATGCCCATACACCAGGGTTATCTGCAATATATCTAATTACAATGTGACCCCTTCCAGGTACTGTAGTAGTATCCCTAATGATTGGATTTTCCAAATTGAATGTAGATAAATTTTTAGGGTCTATTCCTGGTCCTGACGCAATTAACCAAAAGGCGTGACCGTGTAAATGGAATGGATGTTCTGTTCTCAAACTATTTAAAAGAATAATTTGAACACATCCCTCGGGGTAATCATAACCGTATGCGTTTTGAGATACTTCGAAATCAGAAAAACCTCCAGTTTCCAATATTCTTAGATTCGAAGGATTATTGAAAGTAGGTTCAAAGGATGAATTATTGATTCGGAAGGTGCTAACATTGTTGGCATTAGGAGCGATTGTGACGTTAAATAGAAATTCATCAGTAACGTGGGCGGGTGGTTTACTACCATCGTATGGTCGTATAGCATCAGCAACAAGATCCTCACAAGGTGGGAGATCATATGAATATGGAGTTGATACGGGTTCACTGGTAGCAGAATCATAGTGAAGAATACCAGTAGCATTGGTGAGTGAAGAATTATAGTTGATGGTGTTATTCGGTCTCGGGACGCAACGGTCAGGAATGACAGCCCGGATGAAATAATTGGCAATTGGTTGGTCACATTTCACTATGACCGAGTACCGTTGAGCACAATGAATTGGCAAAACATTTACTATTGATACATCAGTATCTTTTACAGGAATTCCGTCAACTTCAATAACCTTGAGTTTATGAGAATCAATGGAGAAGAAAAAGAATGCGTAGGCACTAGTGTTGATGATACGGAATCTATATTTCTTTCCTTGTACAACATCATAGGTGGCAGGTGTGACTTTAGAATTACAATTACTACCTGCTGCTGGTGACGAACAGTTGTACTGTCCTGCACCACTGATAAGAATAGAATCAGGGACAGGCTATAAAAATGTACAAAATGTATAAAAGGTAATTAGAAATCACAAAAATTACAAATTACATAAATCACATAAATTAATCACATAAAATTAATCACATAAATTAGTAGCTTACATTTAGTCCCATATAGCCAGGAGCCATTCTCAAAGGAAGAAGTACTGAAGTAGGATCATGATACCAATCACCAACTGTAACTACATATTGGTCATCACAAGTACTATAATATGGGTCTTCTGGATCATAAACGACGAGTGGACCAATTATTCCATCAACATATTGAGCAAGGAAATGTGAATGATACCAATAAGTTCCAGATTGATCCAAGGCATAAGTATAAGTGAATTCACATCCAGTTGGAATTGGGCATTGGGTTTGACCAGGTACACCATCATACCAATTGGTTTTACGTTGGAAGATACCGTGCCAATGAATTGTAGCAGGTTCACCCAAATTGTTGATTACTTTTATTACTAAACTATCACCTTTATTAGCTATAATGAGAGGTCCGGGGTACTGGCCATTAACGGTCCACACAGTTCGTTCGAAACCATCGGGAGAAAGTTTTTCTTTTCTCAATTCAAATGTATAATAACGAGTAGTTGGCACAGTCTCTGTTAATTTAGGTAAAGGATCAAAAATATATGGTACAGGATGATGTCGAGGTTCCAAATCAAAAGATCCTTTTGGTATAATTGGGGAAGCAATAACGGTATATAAACCGCATAATAAAACGCCGATAATAGAAAATATTTTAAATTTCATTTTCTCAAGAGAGATAAAAAAAAAGATTATTTATAATTTTAATTTCTTAAATAAATAAATATAAGTATATTGATATATACAGAAACAATTTTTTGTCGTGAAGAATTATTCAAAAGAAATAAACCTTTGAATGATTGATCAATCAAGAGGTTCGAAATTGTGGTCTTTATATATTTGAGAAGTCATTGAAAACATGTTTACTTTTTCAAAATTACTCCTTTGTACGAACGCAACGCGAAACTAAATTGAATAATAAAACGTAAATAAAATATAGTATAAATTAATGTATAAAAACTAAATTAATTCAATGCTGCACGGTTAAAAAATAATATTTTATATTGTCTTGAATGTCTAGAATGTTTATGCAACCCACATGCATGACTTATTAGATTTATTTGATTTTTTAGTTAACAACGAATATATATATAAAAATACACAATGATGATCGACGAGCTAACAATAAAAAATGGTACCTTTATTTATAGGATTCCCGATTAATCTTTTTATTTCAAATAGTTTTTACTTTTTTTATCATTGATAAAAAAAAAAAAAATTTAGATTCTATTCTTTGTGTGTGACAATTCACAATCACTACTTTCAGTATTCAATTTAAATTTTTTTTTTTTCATCTTCCACTATTAGAAATCAATCGCTAAATTAACTCATTTATTTGCATGGAATAAATGTCGTAGATTTGAATCAATGAGAAAAAGAACACTGCTAATGATGACGGTTTTCTTTTGTAAGACGGAATTCTAAACTGATTATAATCATTATTGTTACAATGGACGTGATTTTGAGAATTTTTCATAGACGCGTATTCACAACAACGAAAGCACATAGGAAGTACACACAGGAAGCACACATAGAAAACATACATGGGAAATCACATAGGAAGAGTGTGCATTTGAGGTATCGAATGATATCCTTGTTTGCATCAAACTTTGAATGCATAACGCAAACCCCTTACATCCCATCCATTTAGTAATTATTTAATTAAAAGTAACTATAAAGAGTTTAATTAACTAGTTATTACTCGTCAGGTTACACGTGCACTTGACGGAAATAAATAAATAAATATGCTATAATAGGAAAAAACAAACGATTTTATACCCGAAATAGTTGTTTTAATTTCCCTGTTCCACGTAAAGTCAACTTTCATTATATTCACAATGAAAAGAAAACGACAATCAATTTTCAATTAAATATTTAGAGGGACTATGATATAGATAGTAAATTTCAATGTTACCTAAATATTATGAATCCTAAATATGGTTATTATGATACTTATTTAATATCTATTTAAAATACATTAAATAAATTTTATTTGCTTGATAAATAAGGTGATTCAAAAAGAGAGAGTTTATTTAACCGTAAATCTTATTGTCAAAAATTTTATTTGTTTGATAAAGAGATAAGGTTATTAAACAACTACTCCTATGTACTCGAAAAGAATGAGTTTATTTAGCCGCAAATCTTATTGTCAAAAATTTTATGCACAAACAAAGTTGCATGTTTTTTTTTTAATGATTCTAGAGGCAGTTTCGCGAGATTTTGACTGGCAAGTTACAAAAAGTCGAAAAATCGGTATATGTACTCATTGTACTCATTGAATTTTCATTTCATTGAAGATTTCATTGAGAAATTTATTTTTTATCGTTTTCCATATACAGTTTATCTTTTCATTAACAGTTTGACATAATAAATACTATTATAATGCACCAAAGGATTATCGATCAAAAATCTTTGATCTCAGAATCCCACCATAAATAAACGCCTCCCAAAAAGAAATATCTATAATTAAAAAGTGAGACATTATACTCAAGAATATTGCACAATTTAAACACTAAAAATAATTCGTAAATAAAAAAAAAACCCCCCCGGTTCTTAATAAAACGAATACAGTAAAGTGGCGGGGTAAATAATTAATTAATAAATGAGAATTAATAAATAATAAATATTAGATAATAAATAATAAATAATAAAAAGGAGTAAAATTAATTGATTGATTGATTGATTGGTATTTTTGTGCTTATTTTTGGTTCAACATAATTAATTCGTGAAACCACTCTTGAAAATCTTTTTATAAATAGATAAAGAATAAGAATATATAGATTCATTCATTTATAGATCATTTTTAGTGATATATTCTAACTTCCTTTTGAATCTTAGATTTAGTGCAATCTTTAATTCGATTCTTAAAAATTTGTTAGGAGAAAAAATGAAACTTTCGAACAAATATGTCGTGAATCGACAAACAATAGAAGTAGAATGAGATGAATGAATGAATTTATTTATTTGTTTTCAACTCCAATAACCATTTTTTTTTTTATGACCTTGTTTGTTCATCTAGGCACAAAAACGACAAGAATGGAAATGCATGTGACAATTACGATATTTAATTTGCACAAATTACTGTATATATATTTGTTTTTATTCATTTCATTGAAAAAAAGATATTTGTCGGAAGTCTTATTAAACTTACTATGATTTGAACAAATATAGTTATTATATAGTAGAATTTTGGTCATGAATAAAAATTACTGACTAAAATTGAAGTTATCACATTTTTTTAATTCATAATTAATTGACATGTCTATTGTAAGTTAAGTATATTATTTTTTTAAACAAACTTAAATGCGCATATCTTCACCTTATTTAATTTTCTAATGTAATACAAGGGCCCAATTTTTACATTTCAGGAGGTAATTGTTTGAATTTCTATATTGTTTCTATTGGACCTATTAATTACCTCTATCATAAATTTGTTCTATATGGTTACACTCAAAGCCTAAATATTATCTTTGTTTTGCACCTGAAACGAAATGTTTGATAAAGTTTCTCCTTTTATACCTAATGACCAAAATGAATTCATTTAGAAATTTTAAAGATTCTTTTTCTCCCTATTCTTTTTCTCCCTATTATACTTCTTCCTATTCTACTTTACCCTATTCTACTTCTCCCTATTTTATTTCTCCCTATTTTATTTCTCCAAATTTTATTTCTCCAAATTCTATTTCTCCCTATTAGATGCTTCCCAAAATTCTACTTCTCTCCATTAGATGCTTCTCTAATTAAATAGGTTCTTATAATAAATGAAAGAACTAAATGTAATAAATGTAATAAATATTCTGAATATAATTCTACTTCTCTCCATTAGATGCTTCTCTAATTAAATAGGTTCTTAAATAAATGAAAGAACTAAATGTAATAAATGTAATAAATATTCTGAATATTCAGGGACTTTTTTTTTCTAAAAAAATAATTATTATTATATTTCGTCGTAAAAATGACAAAATCCATTAGTTTTGATAGTGACATTTAATTTTATAGGTGTACTAATTGGTAACTGACATATCATCTATTTTTTTTTTAACATTAACAAATATATCACGGTTTTAATTTTCTTACGTCATATTATTGAATATAGATCTCTCATATTATAAATAGATGGATCATTATGTAATACGAATAACGATAAAATTGATAAAATTGATAAAATTGATAAATTGATAAAAAATTGATAAAATTGATAAAATTGTACAACCATCATGTCGAAATATTTTTCCAAGAAATGTTAAAAAATAAATATTTCAACATTCCTCGTATTTGATTATATTTACAGATCAAATATCAATTATATTAAAATTTATTAAATTATGTTAATTAATAAATCAATCAGAAATTACATACATACATATATGTATATATCTTTTCTGTATGTTTACCTTTCGTTCGACCAAAACAATTTAATAAGATCTTTTGAGTAGGATCTTTTTTTCACGATCCTTTAGTATCTTGTCCCAAGTAAAATATAAATTCGTTCATTCATTCATTTTTAATATTTGATTTTTTTTTAAAAAAATTAATTCAAAAGATGATCATCACCAACCAAAATTGGGGAAAAATGAACAAAAATGACAAAAATGACAAAATGACGCATTGGAAATTAAATTAAATTCTAATAGGGTAACACCGAAATAAATTTCTAATTACTTTTGTGTAAATTGATTGTGTAATGCCGCACAACTTTTTTACTGGTCGAATTGAAAATTGGTAATACAATTTCTATGCACATTAATAATAAAATTACCTTTTTTCTTCTTTGTACTTCGACCTCTTTTTTTTTTCAACAATTCCGGAAATTTGGTAGAATTCTCGCGTGGATTTCTAGTTGCAATTCTATCGTTAAAAGTATTACAAAGGATATATAAAGAATGTATAAAGAATGTTTGTAAGTTAAAGAATATAAAGAATATATAAAGAAATAGAAAAAATTTATTTATAAACAAATTTATTTATAAACAAGATTATAAATAAATAAATTATAAATTTATATAATAAATAATAATAAAAAAATTCTAAGCCAATCTTTTTTCATTTCAGTCATTCCTTAATAATTTAATTTTCAACCTGTTTATTAATTTTTTTTTTCTTTTCTTTCTCTTTATAAAAGGAAAAAACATGACAAAAGAAACAACATTTACATTAAAAAATTTAAAACCTTCACCATCTATTATTATCCCTTCTTGTAAAATACATTATCACAATAATCATAAAATATCAATATCAGATGCTTCATTAACATCATCATCACTTCGAATGTCTCCAATAACCGGAAATCCTATTCCAAATTTAAATAATAATAATAATAATAATAATAATAATAACGACAATAATAATAATTATAATTCGGATAATAATAATAATAATTCTAATAATTTTCTAAATAATTCCCACAATAACTCTCACCACAATTCTCATAATAATAATAATAATAATTCTAATAATTCTTTAAATAATTCCCACAATAACTCTCACCACAATTCTCTCAATAATAATAATAATAATAATAATTTAGGAGATTCAAATTATTCCTATCTCAACAACATGCCAACAAAAAATAGTTCAAAATCTTTACCTTTACAATTTAATTCTTCTTCCTCCTCCTCTTCTTCCTCCTCTTCATCATCATATTCATCATCACCACCATCAACTAAACATCTATTAACAAATGGATCTCGGTCTACCACAACGTTATCAAGTGCTATAGAAACCAAACCTCTCGATAAATTATTATCAGGAAATCGATCATTCTCATATACACCAAGTTTTGCCAGAAATCCATTTAGTGATTGTGAAATATTTACTACTGGTGGTAATAACAATCAAAAGGATGGTCAAATGAACAATAATAATAATAATAATAATGATAATAATAATAATAATAATAGTAATAAAAATAAAATTATAAATAATAAAAATAAGAGATTATCAAATGATTCAACAATAACTCTTAATGAAATATATAATAATAACAATATCGCAGATCTTATCTCAATAGATGAAATTAACAATGAAATAAATAGTAATAATAATAATAATAGAATCGATAATGACAATAATAATAATAATAATAATAATAATAATAGAATTGATGTTAATAATGAAGGAGAAAATAGATTACGAAGAAAGAGTAGTTGGGATATAGTAGAATTATTGGCATTAGATAATTTTAGGAATTGGATGATCTGTTTTTGTGTAGTTAATTTTGATTTAGAATTAGGACAAGCAATTGATTCAATGTATCCACCATTAGGATTAGGAGAAGAAGAAAAAAAGAATATTTGTTTTTCAGCATTTCCGGATTCTAATTCATTTGATTTAGGAGATACTGTATTTAATTTTAGAACGAGATGCTCTAAATCTATTGGTTTGGCTGCTTCAGGTATTTCTTCAATTTTAATTCATTTTAAAATATAATATTTTTATTTGATTTAGAAATTTAATATTATTAAAAAATATTGGTTGGTTAGGGTACAACGATATAAATAAATCAAAAATTTATACGGCGAATTCGAATTATAATTTAAAATAAATAAAATAATATAATAATAATTTAAAAATAATAATAATTTAAATAATAATTTAAATAATAATAATAATAATAATAATAATTTAAAATAAATAATAATTATAATGGGAATATATTTTTAAAGATAATTAATTTATTTAATAGGACCAACTGCCGATGCTGGATTCTTGTATGGTTATGCATTCTTTCGTCAAAAAAAAGATTCAAGTATAAGACGTGGTTATTTTCAGGTAATATTTATTAATAATATTTATTATATATATTTATTTATATATTAATTTAATAATTAATAATAATTATATAATAATAATAATAATAATAATAATAATAATAATAATAATAATTAATTAATAATAATAATAATATAATATTTTAATATATTTAGAAATCATTGGTATTATTATCACAATATCCATTTGTTGGATTATTTTCAAGAATAGTATCAATTCTTGGACCATCATACTTTGAAGTAGGAAAACCAATGTTAGAAGCTGCATGTCATGATATTGCAAGTTGGAAATCACCATCACCAGGAAAATATTTCGAACTTCCATTCTTAAGACATGTAATTCAAGTAGAAATACCTCAATCAAATAAACCACAATTATTAGAAACATGTCCATTCGATATGTTAAATTATCGTCCAGATTTACAAATATTGGCTTCATTACCTCCTACTCCAATGTTTTCTCATTTTAAAGATATAATTAAAGATTTATGGTTATGTTGGGAATTAATGTTATTAGGTGATCCAATAGTTTTAATAGCACCTGATCCAAAAATATGTAGTGAAGCTGTGTTAGAATTAATGGATATTATAAATCCTGTAATTATTATTATTTTCATCATCATCATCATCATTATTATTATTATCATTATACATTATGATATTTATTATTTTTCACCCTCATAATTATTTCATATTTTAGATACCTTATTGTGGTGATTATCGACCTTATTTCACTATACAAGATCCAGATTTTAAATCATTTGTGACAAAGAATAGGGTATTTTTTTTTTAATAAGATCATCATCATCACCATCATCATCATCATCATTATTATTATTATTATTATTATTATCATTATCATCATTATTAATGTATTTATTTTTTGTAGCCTCCGTCAAATATAATAATTGGAGTGACTAACCCATTCTTTACAAAAGCATTACAACATTGGCCAAATATAATTAGAGTTGGAAGACCAAGAATAAGGTATTTATATCATTTATTATTTATTTATTTATTTATTTATTTTTTATTAATAATTTTGTTATTAATATAGGAAAACATGTGATCCTTCATGGAAAGCATCATCGCTAGATTTTATGCAGGTTATTATCAATTATTATAATCAAATCAATTATAATCAATCAATTATAATCGATTATTATCAATTATTTATCAATCATAATATTATAGGGAGTTACAAGTAAACGTAAATCAGTAATTGCCAAAGATAAAGCAATATTGAAACAATTGGCATCCGCAATGGCTCGTGGTTATCCTTCTGGTAAATTATTTAACTAAATAAAAATTTTTGTTATAATAATATAATAATATAATATAATACTATAATTTAATTTATAATAATATAATATAATATTATTATTTAATTTATAATAATTTTATAATTTAATTTATAATAATTTTATAGTTTATAATAATAATGTAATTTCATTTTTATAGATTATCTTTTAAATAATGTTTTAAGAAGATATTTTGTGGATCTTACTGAAAAGTTTTTGGTTCCATTGAATCGTTATTTTTCTACTTTAATTCCATTCCACATGTTAGTATTAAAAATATATTCATTAATAATAATTTTAAATAATAATTCAATAAATTAAATATTATTTTCTGTTTAGAACACTTTCATCTTCACAAGAATCTCCACAACTCAAACCATTTAAAACGGATAACTTTTTAAGATCATTACAAGAACATGGTAAGTGATTAGATTATTTCATTATTAATACATTTATAATCGTTATTATCATTATTAACATCCCCATTAACATCAATATCAATAGGACCGCAAATTCCATTCAAATCCAAAAAATTCCCCAGCAATATTACAAATACTTATGTAAATTTTTATACTCAATTTTTAAAATGTGGAAATTTTGCTACTTGGCTTAGACAACGTACAATTGAGGCTCAGAATGAATTAAGAAAAAGGTATTTACAAGTACTTTGTGAAGGTGATGTACAAAAATGGATTATTGGAAAACATGAAATGGAATTAGTTGATTTATTAGTTAGAATTAGAGATGAATTGGTATGTTTTTAATATTTATTTATATTTTATTATATTTTATTTATATTTTATTATATTTTAGTATATTTATTTATATTTTTATTTTATTTATTATATTTATTATTTTATTTTATATTTATATTTATTATATTATTATTTATCATATTTATTATATTTATTTATCATATTATTAATTTTAAATTTATCATATTATTAATTTTGTATTTATTATATTTATTATATTTATTATATTTATTATTATAGAAATCATCAGCTCAACCAGATTCTACATCATCACAATCATCATCATCTACTTCACTATTAGCATCTTCATTATTACCACAAACATTAACTGTTAAACAACGTGAAAAATTGAAATCACAAGCAAATATAATAATATCTGGACTTCCTAGAGATTTAAGGGATTCTTTTACTGTAGAAATATGATAAATAGTTAATCTATTCTATTAATGTTATATAATGTGAATTATTTTATCATCATCATCATCAGCATCATCGTCACCATCAACCATTGTCATTATTATTATTATTATTTTATCATGTGCACATTGTATATATGACATTTTCTTTTATTGTTATTAACTTCCCATTTCTTTTCTTTAATCTATTATCATTCATTTCATTTAACTTTTTACAGTTTTTTATAGTTTATAATTTTTACTATATATATGCTGTATTTTTACATTGTACTGTTTTGTATTCTGTTCATAAAAAAATAATTATTTTATTTTTTCTGCAACATCAAAAATTTTAAAAAATTTTAATTTTCATTAAACCTGTTATGCTGCGGTTCCTTTTGATTGTCCCGAGGCTTAGTAAATATTAAAATATATTTATTATTTTTTTTTCTGGATTAATTTGTAATTTTTGTTCGCTTTTTTTTTCTTTTTTTTTTTTTTTAAAAAAAAAAAGATAAATTTAATGCTGTCAATTTTCGTTTATTTAATAGATATTTAATTGATATTTAATTAATTAATATTTAATTAATTAATATTTTGTTGAATAATGGCTGCAGAAAATTTTTGTAGATCAATTTTATCCTTGGGAAAATATCTACCTGTATTATTAGTATTAATTTTAATTGGATGGTCTTATTATGCATTTGTATTTAGATTGTGTATTCATTATGAATTTAATGAAAATATTACTCAAGGTATTTTTGATTTTTTTTATTATTTGATATTTATAATATTTAATAATAATTATATTTTAATAATAACTTTATCATTTAAATAATAATTATATCATTTCATTCATTTAATACAAAGGAATAATCTATTTAGTAATATTTCATGTTTTATGTTTCTTGATGGTATGGAGTTTTCTTGTTGCTACTTTTACTCCTGCAGGACCTCTTGATGATGTGAGTATTATTTGATTAATTAATTATTTAATTAATATTTTTATTTACTTAACTTATATCTAGATATATGTGTATATATCTATATATATATATTTTAGTCAATATCTACAAAATCTCTTTCAAAAAAAATAACTCCCATTAACACTAATGCATCATCATCATCATCATCATCAATTGAAAAACCTAAAACTGATTTATTCTTCTTGGATGAACATGGAAATTATACAACTTCAAGTAATATTATTCTGAAAAAAAGTGGTAAAAAAAGATATTGTCAAAAATGTCAATGTGATAAACCTGATAGAACTCATCATTGTAGTGTCTGTGAGAGGTTATTATTTTATTGTTATTTTATTGTTATGTTATTTGGATTATTAGAATTATTAATCTCATTATAATCATTAATACTAATATTAAAATAATAATATTTTTTAGTTGTGTTATGAAAATGGATCAGTAAGTAATTAAATAATATATTAAAATATAAATATAACATTTCAATATTTTTTTCATAATTTTTTTTTTTTATTTTTTTTTATTTTTTTTTTTATTTTTTTTTTTCAAAGCCATTGTCCATGGTATGTATTTTATAATTTCTCATTGTGAATGATTTAATTTAATTTAATTTAATTTAATTTGTTTATTTATTATTTGATTAGGATAAACAATTGTATAGGGTTTTACAATCAAAAAGCATTTTATCTATACATTGTTTGGTCAACTTTATATTCAATCTTTATTACTGTGGCTACAGTTCCAATTGCAATTGAGTATTATTCAGTTCATCATGAGGATGAGGTATTATTATATATTGTTATATTGCCATTGATACATATATTAATCATTATTTTTTTTATATTTTTTTTATCACTTTACTCAATTCATTTTTCTTTCCTTTTTTTTTATTAGTTCATTCCAAGTATAGATTTGAATATATCATTTTTAATCCTAGGTGGTGGTGTATTTTCAATAGGGTTATTCGGGTTTTTAATATATCACACTAATTTGATTTTACATAATCGAACTACTTTGGAAAGTTTAAAACATTACAAAATTACTCATGACGTTGAAGAAGGTGATAGAGATGATAGTGGTAGAGATGAAAATATGTTAAATATATTTGATATTGGTAAAAAGTAAGTAATAAAAATTTTTAATTTAATAATTATAATAACATTTTGAATAAATATATTTAAGATGAATATATTTCTGATGAAGATATATTTACGATGAATAATTTTGAAAATAATTTTGATAGAGCAAATTTTATTCAAGTAATGGGTCCAACTTGGTATTTATGGTTTTTTCCAATTAAAAATTCGTAAGTTTATTATTCTTCTTTTGTAATGAACAAATAATGTAAGTATGCAAAGAAATAACTGTAACTAATTACTCTTTCAATTCTCTCTTTCAATATAAATATGACATTTATATAAAAAGATTGGGCGATGGTAAAACTTGGCCAGTGAATTATGAAAAATATAATGAATTATATGGTTCTAGAACTTCATAAACTTTATAATATCAATTTTTTATAAATCCGAAATTAAATAAACAATCAAATATTTAAAGAATTTTTTTAATAATATTTTTTTTTCAATATTTAATAAATTGTATAAAAATAAAAAAAAATTACAAAATAATAATAGAATAAATTACAAAAAATAATAATAAAATAAATTACAAATAACAATAATTCATATACAAATATTCAACTTAAACTAAAAAAAAAAAAAAAAAGAGAAAAATAAGTCAACTGACTAATAATCAAAGAAATAAACAATTAAATAAAAAATATTATTATTTACCCATCAAATTATTTTTAATAATTTTGAATTACTTTATTATTCTAACCACTAAATCTCCACCAGATAATGAATCACTTTGTTTAACTGCCACATATTCAACTTTACCAGAAACTGGTGAGGTAACTACCGTTTCCATCTTCATTGCTGAGAGAACGCATACTGGATCACCAGCTTTAATTTCAGCTCCCTCTTTTATATTTAAATAAGAAGCAGCAGGTAAATAAATATGAATAAATAAATAAATAATTAATTAATTAATTTACAAATACTAGAATTATTACTAACCTTTAGTTCTAACTTCAATAACAACACCAGACATTGGAGCACCAATCTCTCCTGGTTTTCCAGGATCTGCTTTAACTCGTTGAACTTTTTCGACAGCTAAAAGGAATTATTAAAAATTATTAAATTATCAAAAATTATAAAAAATTATTAAAAATTAAGATTATTATAAAAATATGTATATATGTACCAGCAGTTCTATCGTCAATTCCGACAGCTCTTGCTTCGCCATTTAATTCAAAGAAAACCTCTCGTTTCCCTGTTGAAGTATTTAATGAACCAACTGCCAAATATTTAATAATCAAAGTAACACCCTCTTCTAAATCTATACTAAATTCTTCACCAATATCAGGTTTACAGATAAAATATCTAGTAGGAATTATTGATACATCTCCATATTTATCTATTTGATCACGATATTCCGCAAATACTTGGGGATATAAAGCAGAAGATAATATATCTACATCACGAATTGATCTTCCATATTTTGTTACTAGATCAGATCTTAATTTAGTGAAATCTAGTGGAGGCAATGATATTCCAGGTCTTCCTTCTATTCTTGGAAGATCTTTGATAATCTAAAACAAAAATATAAATAAAAATACATATATATATAATATATATAAATATATGTAAACAATAAATTCTGGAGATAAAAAAAATAAAATAAAATTACATCAGAACGAAGTGGCTCCGGAAATCCTCCATATGGTTGACCTAAATAACCTTGGAAAAATTCCACAACTGAAGTAGGAATTGATAATGTTTTCGCTTTAACAATAAACTAAATTATTATATATATAATATATATAATTAAGTAAAAGACAAGAGAAATAGAAGAAGGAAGTGTAAGGAATACACTTATTTTCACAAGATTATTAACGAAAATTTAATAGAAGAAGAAGAAAATAAATTACTCACATCATCATGCGAAAGCTTATTTGACACAAGGAATTGTGCCAGATCACCTACAACTTTTGAACTAGGTGTCACTTTCACAATATCACCACATAATTTATTTGCATCACAATAAGCTTTCTTAATTTCTTTCCATAGTTGTCCAAGACCCAATTGTGATGCTTGAAACATGAGATTTGTATATTGACCACCAGGCATTTCATGTTCATAAACTGATGAATCAGCTGCTAAAACACCGGCTTCAAAACAACTATATAATTTTCGTACTTGTTCCCAATATCCATTTAATGCGTGTACATCTTCTAATCTAATACCTGTACCAAGTTCAGTATTTTCTAGAGCTGATACTACTGCTCCCATTGATGGTTGAGATGTTACTCCTGACATACCTATAAATTAAATATTAAATAAATATTAAGTTTGACATTAAGTGATATTAAATTAATATTAAGGTAGTATTAAATATTTAAATATATTTACTATCAATAGCCAAATCAATGACATCAGCTCCCGCAGCTGCTGCTGCCAACATACTAGCGACACCAGTTCCGGCTGTATCATGTGTGTGTACATGAATAGGTAATGATGGCCATTTTTGTCTAATAGATCCTACTAATAATTTTGCAGCCTTCGGTTTTAATAATCCTGCCATATCTTTAATTCCTAATACATGAATTCCTTCTTCCACTAATTGTTCAGTTAAATTTAAGTAATATTCTAAATTATGTTTTTTCTTATTTGGATTTGATACATCTCCAGTATAACAAATACTTGCTTCTATTACTCCTCCGGCTTTCTTAACTGCATCTATACCCAATTTTAAGTTTTCAATATAATTAAGTGAATCAAAAATACGGAAAACATCCATTCCATTATCTTTTGCTTTTTGACAAAACTCATAAATAAGATTATCTGGATATGATCTATATCCCACAGCGTTAGCTCCTCGAAGAAGCATTTGAAATGGAATATTTGGAACAGCTGCTCGCAATTTTTTCTAATAAATATATTATAATTATGTAAAACTTTTAGAATAATTTAAAATCAAAAATTGAAATACCAATAAAAAAAAAATTTACGTACCAAACGATCCCAAGGATCTTCATACAAAAATCTCATAGAAACATCAAAAGTAGCGCCTCCCCACATTTCAAGAGAATAAGCATTAGCAAGAGCATGAGTAGTATGAGGTGCAATATTCAAAAGATCTAAACAAAAATAATTTTAAAAATCAAAAAAATAAAATATTTACTCGAAAATTTAATTCAGAATCACCCAGAATTTATGAATTTACCAATGGTTCTAACTCTAGTTGCTAATAAACTTTGATGAGCATCTCTCCACGTTGTATCCATAATTAATACCCCTTTATATTCTCGAACAGCTTTAGCAAATGCTTCGGGTCCTTTTTCTTGTAAAATATGTCGCCATCCATGTGCTGGAGGTTGACTAACATCTATTGGTTCTGGACCTGCTAAACATCGAATGTTAGGTAACAGAATTGGTGCTTTAAAGGATGGTTCACCCTAAAAACAATAATTAAATATAATAATTAAAATAAAATAATAATTAAAATATAATAATAATTAAAATGTAATAAATAATATATAAAATAATAATTTTTATTTTACTTACTATTTGACCTTTGATACTACTTCCGTTAACAACAACATCACCCAAATATTTCAAGATATTTTGAGCTCGATTTTTACTTCCAACCAATCTGAAAAGATCTGGTGAGTCATCAATAAAAGTTGTCCATGTTGTTCCACTTATAAAAACTTTATGTGTTAAAAGACGTTGTAAGAATGGGATATTCGTCTTAACACCTCGAATTCTAAATTCCACTATAGCTCTTAAAACTTTTCGTCTGGCCACCTCATACGTTTGACCTCTACATGTGATTTTAACTAATAAAGAATCATAATGTGGTGTAATGACTGCACCAACATATCCTGCTCCACCATCTAAACGAACACCATTCCCACCGGATGATCGATAAACTTCGATTTTTCCTGTATCGGGTTGAAAGTTTTGTGCTGGATCTTCAGTTGTGATACGACATTGTATTGCAAAACCTCGTGGTTGTATTCGATTTTGTAAAAGTGATAAATGACTAAGAAGTGCTCCACCGGCGATTTGAATTTGTGCTGCCACTATATCAATTCCCGTAATTTCCTCTAATAGAAATTTTATAAATTATCATGAATAAAATTTAAATAAATTTTTTAAAAATTATTAAAAGAAAGCATTTAAATTTATATAAAAATAAATGAATAAAAATGTTACCTGTTATTGTATGTTCAACTTGAATTCTAGGATTTATTTCTATGAAATAATGTCTATTCTGTTGATCAACGAGAAATTCGGCTGTACCAGCATTTCGATAACGCACGGCTTGTGCAAGTTTAATTGCATCTGAAAGAATTGCTTCTCGAACTGAAGCCTAATAAAAATTGATAAACATAAACAAATAAAATAAATTTTATAATTGATAAATAAATTAAATGATTAAAAAAATATTTGAATGTAAAATAATAGAGAAAACTTACATCCAAGTTACCAGCTGGTGCAACTTCAACTACTTTTTGGTGACGTCTTTGAACTGAGCAATCACGCTCAAACAAATGAATCACATTACCAGCATTATCACCCAATAATTGAACTTCGATGTGTCTTGGTTTATCCAAAAATCGTTCCAAGAAAACCGTACCATCTCCAAATGCGGATAAAGCTTCAGAACGAGCACGTTCAAAGGAATCAGCAAGTGAAGATAAATCACGAACAACACGCATACCGCGACCACCCCCTCCCATTGCTGCTTTGATGATGATAGGGAATCCATGTTCTTCAATAAATTTTTCAGCTTCGGAAAGTTCTGAAATTGGTCCATCAGAGCCAGGAACTACTGGAACTCCACATTGAATTGCTTTAAAAAATTTTTTAAAAGAAAATATTTAGTGAAGATATTATATTTATTAAATATTTAATAATAATAATATTATTATTAATTATTTGTTATCATTATTAATTATTATTATTATTTATTATTTGTTATCATTATTTATTATTATTATTATTATTATTTATTATTTTTTATCATTATTTATTATTATTATTATCATTGTTATTATAAATAATTTGTACTCACCAATTTCTCGAGCTTTTGTTTTATCTCCCATTTGTGAAATTACTTCGGGAGTAGGACCAACAAACGAAATACCAGCAGCCTCAACCTTTCTAGCAAATTCGGCATTTTCAGCAAGAAAACCATAACCCGGATGAATCATCGATACACCACGAAGTTTAGCAATACGAATTATTTCGTCTTGTGCCAGATATGCACCAACTGGAGTTAGTGTATTTGAATTACCAATTTGATATGATTCGTCTGCTTTATAACGGTGCATTGACAACCTATCTTCCTGACTATAAATAGCGACAGTTTTCATTGAAAGTTCGTGAGCAGTTCGAAAAACTCGAATGGCTATTTCCTATTTAAAATGAAAAAGAAAAAGTTATAATATGAAAAAAAAATTTTAAAATTGAAAGTAATAAATATAAAGTTTGATATTTACTCCACGATTAGCCACCATTAATTTTTGTAAATGGCCCATAACTTGACTACTACGACGAATAGACTCCACCGTATGATCATCATAGTCTTCTGTTTCGTTCATTTTTTTTTTTCACAGAGAATTTTTTTAAAAAATCAATAGAAATGAATAAATATAATGAAATATGATTTTATCGATTTATGAAATGAAAAACAATTTGAGAAATGATAACGGTGAGATGAAAATCGAGATTAATTTATAGTTTACACAATCTCAAGATTAGATAATTTCGGTAAATAGCGGTTTCAAATTTTCACGTTTTTTATAAACAATGCGCCATTCACAAATCTGGTAACACCACTTTTTACAAAAGAAATAAAAGATTGCAGAACTCAAAAATTTACAATTGGTGAAGTTAAAAGAAATTTGTTTCACCAATAAATTAAAATAAATTAAAATTAAAGCGTCGGGCATTATAGTATTTTTTTAGGTTCATAAAACAAGACACGTTACAAGTTGATTAATACTCAAAATATCCCATGATCAAAATGAACATAAATAGTAAAATGACAGAATAATGACAAAATAATGACAAAATGATAATTCCCAACCCGCTTTAAGAAAGTAAAAGGGATGGCGTCAGCTCAATGCGGAGCCAGACTGCCATCCAATACTTCAAAAAATTATATGCGCAAAATGTCTTGATGACCATTCTGCACAGGCAATAAAGCCTATGCGGTATGTGGAATAATTCTCCGTAGAGAACTATTGCCCCCGCGCATCCTTTTAACGTTTCAATTGACAATAAAAATTCCTTTTTATAATTTTTTTGATTAATGTAAAAGATTATGGGATCATTATATATATATATTTATATAAATAAATTAAAAAAAAAAAAGATAAGAAAAATGATTTTCCTAAAAAGATTATTGTATTTGTATTTATAGTGTCAATATCTCGTAATAATAATTGTAATACCTCTACCTCTACAAACATATGAACAATTAATAATCTTGATACCAACATTTTTGAAACTATTGACCCTCATTAATAATATTAATAATGTTAAGAATATGAAATTTCCAACATCTAAACAGGGTTGATATTAAGTATAATATATGAAAATATTTGTGATATTATTTAATTAATTAATATAGCTCTAAAGTCATCATTTATTTTATTTTGTCATTTTGTTCTAAGATATTTTTAGTCACATAAATGTATGTCCAATTCAAAAGATCAAATGATTTCCAACAAGAGGATTGTATAAGCTTTTTATGAAGTAAATTTTAATTTTTTCATTTCATCAATATTTCCAAGGAATTGTAATTTTAGGTTGTAAAGATTTTGGTATGATATTTGAAGTAGAGCATTAGTATGAATTTGAAGTAGAGCATGACTCATAGAAACTCTCAACAACCTAGAAAATATTTTGTTTGAGAGTTATAAAAGTTCACTATTACTTGAAAAAAAAAGTATATATAAATTTCATTCTCTTTATGAAATGAAGCAGATAATATATTCTGTTCTTTCTTAAAAAGATTAAAAGAATACAGAAACAATATGAACTGAATTTTCTAATATATATATAATTAATTGTCATAGGTCTGAGTGATAATGAAATGTATCCTCTCACTTGGACCAAATTTTTAATTTAAATGTTTATATAAATATAATATAATCAATAATATTGATAAGTAAATTTTGAGTTAAAGTCTGATCATTAAAATATGGAAAAGAGACTCATTACACTATAAACATTGTGTGAAGTTATATACTACAATTGTTGGTCATTAAAATATTTCAAAGACAAGAGAAATAATACAATAAAATAAACAACAAAACAAAAAAAAACACAACACAATAATAAATATATTATTATAGATATTAAAAAATAGGGTAATTGAAAATTAAAAGTTGAAAATTAAAAGTTTCAAAAAACGGATACTGTAATGTGATATTTCAATTCTACTATAACAAGAAAATTCAGAAGGGGAGAAAATAAAGCAATATGTATCCTAAATAATTTCTATAGTTGAAAGAACGAAAAATTTTAAAGTAATTAGACTCTAAAAATGTAATACTAACTTCCGTAATACAATAAAAAAAAGAAGGATAAAATGATAAGAACTAATAATTCGGTATACAAAATATTATCATTTATGATAAGAAGTTATATATGAGGGAATTATAAGATAATTAACATAAATTTGCATTTAATTTAATGTTAAAATAAATTATAGAATTAAAATTAAAATTTTATATTATTTTTTTTTATCGTTTTTTTCATTTCTTCAAAAACTTCAGCAATATTTTTCCATCTTCCTTCAAGACAATGCCCGCACCATCTTTCAATAAACACCAATACTGCCAACATAGATTTTTGTTGTTTAGATACAATCAAGGATGATGTTGAATATTCTTGAGCATATAAACATTTAAGAGCAAAATAAAGTTGTTGCAGCATAGAGGGAAACAGTGTAAACAATGATTGCACATTTTTGCGTTTTCGTGAAGAAAGTGAAGTTGAAGTGTGTATAGATTCCAAGATATTTTGTAGCTTAATAATAATAGAAATAGAAGAAATGGAAGAAAAAAAAAAGATGATTAAAGTTCTTTAAAAGCGGCAAAAAAAAATATAATTAATTAATACATATTAACTATATAATTACCTTCTCAACACCATCATTTGCCTTATTAATCACAACCCGCTGGAAATTAATAAATTTTGCATCCTCCTTGGTATAATTTCTTTGACACCAGTAAATAGGTTCTTCAGAATTATTAACATTATTATTCCCACATTTATTCGATTTAAATATCGCACAACAATTTTGTATTACATTTGAAATATTATTCTCTTTAAGAATCTCCATCAGAAATTGTTGTTCGAACAAACTATTCAACCGAGCATTTGATTGAGTAAAAGTCTTAGTTGACAAATTATTTGTTTCATTGTTATTATTATTAAATTCAATTCTAGTAGAGTCTAAGTCATTAATCCAGTCACCTAAAATAAATCTTTCCATATTTATAATCATATCTGTAACTTTCCAACATTTCCAAATATTTAAAATTAATTGGGTACATTCTTTCCAAAGCATAGGAATAGGATGAAACCTTGATTGATAATGAGATATCCAATTTTCATAAGTATTATTAATAGTTTGACTATCATCTTCATCATTTACAACATTTTCGTCAATATTATTATTATCTTTGGATTTAGTATTTGTAAATTTAATTCGATATTTAGTCCATAATAAAATTAATAAGCTTATAAAATATGGATATAATGGATTTGGTGATGATGACAAAATCAGATGGTTCACTTCTCCATGAGCTATACGATTTCTAAGTCTTGGACCATCAGTATGAATAAAAAGATCAAGAATAAGATCCTTGTTTTAATAAAAATTATAAATTAGATAAATTTTGTCTGTTAATAAATATGTAAATATGATGATGGTTATAAAATACATACCATTGTCCCACCACAAAATTCATCATAAATCAAATTTTTTGGATTCTTTCCTACACTTTCCTTTTCATCATTAATATCACTAAAATATTCACAAGAAATATATTTCTCTAATATGATATCCAATGTCAAAAAATATTGTCCTACTTCTACTGTATTCATACGATGTTCTTGTCCTTTGTTTATAGAAATAAATATTCTTCTTAAACAACTTTCAAAAAGAGGTAAAGAAAGAATGTGAAATAATAAATATTGATTTTGCGATAAGAAGTATAATGATCGTGACCAGGTAAAATATGTAGATGGTAATATGAAAAAATTTTGTAAAAGTAGATTTTCTATTTTGCAATGAGAAAGAAGTGGTGGGAATGCTATAATATTTATTATATATATTGTTTAAAAATTGTTAGAATCTAAAGAATTATAAAGAATTATAAAGAATAATGATATGAAACTTTATAATAAAAAAATTTACCTTGTCCATACATACAACTTTCATAGATATTCTCAAATTTTCTCTTATCACAATCCTCATCATCATCATCTCTAAAATTGTCAGATTTAAAATGCAAATTATAAAATCCCTCTAAATTTGCTCCTTTTCGTTTAATCAATGAATTAATCCCTCCGTCTTTTCTAACTTTATGACAAACACTCATGATAGTTATTATTATGAGAGCCGAATACCATCTAGCAGGAACGGGTAAAAATTCTTTAGAGCAAATAAATCCATGCCAAAGAATATTTCTCAGATTCATTGAACTTGGTGGGCCAATTAAACAACGAAGGTAAAATACAATGTCTTTGCCCAACACTTGAACAAGTGGAGGCGAAATTAAGAGATCACGAATCAGGTTGGGAATTAAAGATGTTTCTTTACGAATTGTAAAGATGATCTAAATATATATATATGTTATTAATTGATGTTTTGGAAAGATGAAAGCAAATTTTATAAAAAATAAATTGAAATATAATTACATACACAACCTAATATCCTTTCTAACGAAGAAATCCCTAAAAGTAGAGCAGTATAAAAATCTTGTTCAAAATATAGCTCGAAAATTTTATCAAATACCTATTGACAACGAGATTCTTATTCATTTACTCACACATTCATTAATATAAAAAAAAAAAATTATGCTTACATCAAAATATCCACTCCATGATATTTCTTCTTTATACAAATTCAAAAAATCATTTGATGAAAAAATTTTAGAATCGAGAAAAAAAGTAGCCATTTTTGCAAGAATTTTAATCTTTACGGACGCTTTCATAAAAGCTGTTTCATCAGATGTGTCATACGAATAAAAGCCTATAAAAAAATTTAGTAATATGAAACATAAATTGATAAGTTTGAAATCCTATTTATAAGAAATCTACTTACTGTCCAACAGACTGCCAATAGCATTCTGTGTCAAAAATCCTTTCTCGCAAAACGATTCTTTATAATTGCTTTCGACACTTGGTTCATCATCATCATCAATTAAAATCATCGTTTTAGCATGGTCACTCAAACAACTTTGCCAAAAGTTCATATAATTTTCCACTGATAATTGTTCAGACTTTCCCAACCAAAAAGATTTTATGAAAGGATTATTTGAATTTGAGGCTGTTTCAGACATTATTAAAGAAAAATCAATAAATTCTTTTATTTGACTTGGGAAACCTTTTTCGGGAATTAGCCCTTATTAAATACAGTATTACAAAATTTTCGTGTAATATCCTGTACATAAAATTTTTGCAACGAATAAACTTTTATATGTAAAAATTTCCTTCCCACTGTTACTTTAAATATAAGACGAGAAGTTATGGACCAATATAAACTGGCTAAAACACGTGAAATAATACAATTTAAATTAATATTGGGTATTACTGAAAAGGAGATAACCTTAACAAATATATTTATTCACTTTAAATAATTCTAAAACAATTCCATTTATCAAATTATAACTTGAGTATTTCATATTTTTTGCTCTGTTAATAAGATATGGATGCAAAAAAATCCAGATTTTTGGTGTAGCTCCAGAAAAACGCTTGTTCGATTTTATATTCCAAAATTAATTACAAGAATTATTATGAGCGTTAGGATGCTCGAGTTACTTATCGACCCACTTTTGAAAAATTAATTGTGGAAATATTTTCGATTTTGGAATAATAAAAATGAAATTACATTTCAAATTGAAAATTCTGAAAAATATCTAAAAACCTAAGATTAACAAATTCAACAACTCCAACTCCTAATGAATTATTAATCAACTTCTCAATTATTCAAGTCTTCCAAAAACCAAAGAATGATGAAAATTTTAACTTGAAGAATTAACAATATCTGCATCTGCTTTAAGTATCTATTAAATTCTCATTTTATTTATTTTTTTTTTTTAATATTAATTTAGTTGTGCCTGGATTATATGTAATTCATGATTTTATATTTTTGTTTTTTGGCCGGCCTTTACATTGTAATTTTGTCGTTAAAACAATATTATTTACAGATATCAATAAAATTATTTTTGCTATTTTAAAGAAATAACTTCGTGAGCTAAAAAAATTCGCACGAATATATAAACGGTTGAAAAAATTTTATTGATAATTAATCGACCCCCCAAAATGTATGAATTTAGATTCTTATAATATTATTATTATTGACTGACGTGTGATCAGTTAGTAGAACTTTATCGTACAAAATTTGGAAAGAAAAGATGGAGTTACACTCCCCTGCCAAAAGTATCCGACCACCTAAAAATTTGTATTTTTTAAGTAAATTTTTATTTGCTAATAACTCA